CAATATCAGGCAAATTATCTACATGGCCCAGCGTTGCTCTCATCTGGCAGCAAGATTTTTCTGAAGATAAAATGTCCATCACTTGCTTATAAAGACCAGTCGCCCTGATTTGCTTTAACACATCTTCCTGGAAATATATGGTGCATATGTTCAAGGAAAAAAAATAGAGGGATAGAGCTTAAAAATATGATAAGTATTCAGAAGCTAGTCTGGTTTCTTTATATCACAATCTTTTGCTGAGTACCTTTGCAGCAAGTCTTCCCTTCTCTTCTTCACTCAAACTTTTACCACCTTCCTCTTGTCTTCGGATTTCTGCCACCCACTTAATGAATTCAGAGAAGTTAGAAGGTAGAGATGCAAAAACAGTTGATAGAACATCTTTTATGTCCTTGACATTGTCTGAACTCAACAGCAAAGGAACATCTTCTGTTAAATACTTTGAAATAGCAACCCAACTCTCATGCTTACAGCTCTGCACAAATTCACATTTTAAGATTTATGAGGACTAAGCTTATCCAGTTTTGCAGATGGCAAATAGGTCAATACTCTTTATACACATTACCAGAATATTAATGTAAATATATATTTGTTCTTATGAAGTTAGTGATGTAACAATGTTACTTAAATCATACCAGGGTATAAAGCAGTGCTGGAGCTCTGTGAAGCTTGGATACAAGCATGAACCTGGAGTTTTTTACAACACACCAGGAAAATAGTGAATAAATTATGATAGGTGATAAAAGATGTCATAAGTGTAGGCCAAAGATAATTATTTGAGCCTTGCAAGAAAAAGGTATGAAAACAAGAGCAAAATGACCTGGAAGGACAGATATTCAAAAATTGAACGCTCAAAGAAAGCCCTTAATAACCAATGCAATGTAACATCAGCATGGAAGTACTTTTAGGATGTATCTGTTTAATGGTGATCTGAGAGACATCAAGTTATTAAAATGTAAATAAGACTATTACCACTACTGCTTTGAGAAATTACTAATTTGGGGAATATAGTGATCCATAAATTCCTTATTGTCTACTATCATTTATTCTGAATTTGGTACACCTTCTCTAATAAGAACAGCCACTTTAAATATGCGCGCTTTTTTAAAACACACATCTGCAACTTCCAAGTAAGAACTATAGAATAACATATGCATGTGCAAGTCACTTACCCCCTATGTAACCCTGTTGCTTCATCAACAGTATCCATGGCTTCCCAAAGAAGTGGAAGTGGAACCCAATGAGGAGGGTATTTAAACCGTGCAACATCTAGAATCAACGCCATATCACTCCCGGCATGATAACCACCGATAGGTGAAAAGTGACCACTTCCTGTCTGTCAACATTATCACAATAATGGTTTCACCACTTCATGGAGCGGAATAGAGAAAATATAAGTTTCACTAGCTGGATATGCTAGGCTTGTTGATTACCTGCTTAAAGGCTCCTCTATGATATGATGAAATCAGATGGCAATCATCAGAAGTGGAGCATGCTATGAGATGCTTACGGAAGTCATCAACATTGCTCTGACTTGTGCGAAAAGCTTCCACTTTTGCTCCAGCACAACGAGCCAAACACACAACTTTCCCAAAGGAGATACCCTTAGCTTTAACCTTTTCTAATGGCTCACAACAGTCCAACATAGATTCATCAAACCATCTCCAAGGCCCTGCATACACAATTTGGTAAATCACAAAATTCATACCATGAAACCACAACTTTCTGAATGTCAAAGCTCCATGTACAGCTACAAAAAATTACATGGTGAAGTTAACGGTGTTATAGCCTATACCATGTTTGCTTTGAAGAATTACAGCAGTGTAATGATAAAAGTTTCACCTTTCCATTTTCTTCCTGGATCAATAGCAAGGGAATTCAAGACCATTGAAAGGCTAGCCAAGCCACAATATGCAGGTTCAGATTGTGTCTGGAAATATGAAATCAACTTAAAGAAGCCTTCCATTGTTCCATTTTGACTAGCCTCCATGAAGAGTTGCTGTATTTGCAATAATCAGTAGATTAGAGAAATCAAGACGAGGAGCACAAAGAAGAACAAGTATATATGGGCAAACAATATAATGTTCTTTTGCTTTCATTCCTGGTGGGGAAAATTGGTCCTCAGCCCAGCCCAGCCCAAGGAGGCTCAGTGCAAGGCAGGCCGCAGGCCCAAAGAATCAGGTCAGGTCCATCCTCTCTGGAGAAGACAGGTGGCAGGTCATGCAAAGAAGAGCCAACAATCAACTTCACAACCACAACGATTGACCAATGAGAACCAAATGCAAGAATGATGAATATGCCTGTCAATCATTTCCTCCCTCTTGTATAAATACCCAATCATTTATAATTAAGGGACACCTGATCTTCTGTATTTATTACCCTCATAAGTCATAAACTGCTATATAGACAAAGGTGCTTGGCAGGGTAGAGTGTTCACCAGAAATAACCTCATACTTAGTTCTTGGGTAATAGATCATTTACTCCATCAATTCCAATTAATTTACTAGATTCTACAGTTCTCTTTCCTTTTTGTAGCTATACAAACAAAAACAATTATCAGATCTAACATTTTAAAGGTAGCAGCATGGAATTCATAGTCCCAAATACAACTTCATATCGGCAAAGGCTAATCATGGAGTGAAATCTAGTTATTAAACGCTCAGATCCATGCCAAAACAGCAGCAAAACCTTGAAATGGCGTTGAAATACTAATACTCATTCCGATTGCTCAAAATTACCGATTATCCACAAAAGCATTCTTAACTCACAGGATTGGTAGTATATACTTAAATAAACCCTAGCTTTCTGCAGGAGTAGAGGAATCAGAAATAGTGTAAACGACTAACCTTTCCTTCGGTAGACGCGAAATCAATAGCCGGAGGTGACGGGAGTATACGCCGGTAAAGGCCTGCCATCGCCATTATTCCGGCCGCCGACTAGGCGAACAGCTCTAATGGTAAGTCAGCGGTGGGAGGTTTTGTTTCGGACTTCGGACCCGCGTAAATTAACCGATTTGAAAAAAACAGGAAAGCAGTTTTGCTTTTCGCGCACGCCTTTATACCCCTTTAGCGTACTTATGACGATAGGAATATTTTTATTTTATTTTATTTTTTATTTTTATTTTATCGTATTACACTCTCTTGATAGATAAGGGTCAAATAAACCCTCCAATTATATACTAAAGTGTAATTAGACTCTCAGTTAAAAAACTTTTAATTTAACCCTTGTTAAATTTGTACAATTAATCTATTTGATTTATAATAGAATGTTGTTCTTAAGTCACCTGTCACATAGGATGCTACATAAAATACTACTTAAATTAACATTTTTTAAAAATTATATATTTATAAAAATCAAAATAATAATATTTATTTATAAAAAAAATTAATTAAAAAACAAAACAACATGAAATCGTCCATGGCAACTTGGAAGCTGCCATGGCTTCTTGTCCACGGATGAAGAATCATGGCAGGCATCTCCATCCTAAACGGAGAAGCCCGCCATGGCAGCCAAGCTGCCTAGCAATTGTTCGTGGCAACTTAGACGAAGTAGCTTAATGAAGAAGTTTGGATTTTTTTGTCAAATGGAAATTTTTTTTAATTAGTTGTTAAAAGATTAGTTTTAAAAATAATTTTTTTTTTTTACTTTTTAAATAAGATTTCACAAAAGATGCATGTCATCTAATTGGATGTTCTATTAGTTTGATGGTCTAATTGAACTTTGGTATATAGTTAGAGGGTTTATTTGACTCTTATTTCAAAAATTTATAATTTGAATTAGTTTATGTTTAATTATAATAATAATACTTATTCTTTCTCTCTAGTTTTCTAGGGTTTTCAAGATTCCACTCCTAGGGTTTCCGTGGCTTTCACGTTTCAGTCGGTTTTCACCTCCGGTAATACGTACCGGCTTCCGAACTAGTTTCTGTTCGACGTGCGGCAAGTCGGCGTGATGGCGGAACAGCAGGCAGGCGGAGCAGTGGCGACGATAACGGCGAGGTGGGCGGATTTGGCGATTGAGGAAGATGAGGCCACACCTTTTGCGCCTGTGTTGGATGCGGACAAGGTAGTTGCGGGAGAGAAGGAGGAGCGATGGTTGTTGTTGGGGAGGTTTCTGACGCATAAGCTTGTGAAGGTTGAGTATATGAGACAGGTGATGGCGGCAGCATGGCAGTCGGTCGCGGGCATGCAGGTTTCGGACATAAAACCCCGGTTATTTTTGTTCACCTTCCACCATGTTACTGATTTGCAAAGAGTTCTAAATGATGGTCCGTGGGCATTCGAGAATGCAACGTTGGTTTGTGATCAACTTGTGGATGGGGGTTTTCCGGATGAGGTTAAGCTTGATACGGTACAGATGTGGATACAGGTTCATGGCTTACCAATGGGATATACATCTGACAAGATCTTAGAACAGATTGGCAATTATCTTGGCACTTTTATAAAAGGGGATGACAGGTTTGCAGGTGCACCTTGGAAGGTTTTTTACCGGATCCGTGTTGCAATACCGGTTGACAAGCCGTTAAAACGAATGCTGAATTTTGTTAAAAGGGACAAATCTACATGTTGGGTATCTTTCAAATATGAACGTCTGCACAATTTTTGCTTTTACTGTGGAAAACTAGGTCATTTGTACAAGTTTTGTTGGATGGCTAGGGACTCAGTTTTACCGGTAGAAGAATACCCTTATTCCGCAGAGCTTCGGGCAGGGATAAGGAGAGGACCGAGGGCAGTTGGGGAGCATTGGTTGACGCCAGTGGGGGAGCAGCAGCCTCGGGATGATGACCACGCCGTGGGGCAGTCTGGGGGGACCAGTTCGGAAAATCCGAATGGTGGGGATAGTGGGGCAGGTTTAGTGTTGGAGGCGGTTAGTAAGAGGCATAGGGAGGAGTACGGAGCGGAGGAGGGAAGGCGGGTAGGAGGGGGGAGTGGTGATGTGGCTATGGTGGATCTCTCAAAAAACTTGTTTATGGCGGGAGCTGGATCGCAGCCCCGCCCATCTTCATGAGTACCCTCAATTGGAACTGTCGTGGCTTGGGCAATCCACGAACAGTTCAGCAGATAGTGGACTGGGTGTCCAGTAAGAAGCCAGAGTTTGTATTTTTTATGAAGACGAAAGTGGGGCGGAGTCATGCGGAGAGACTTCGAGTTAGGATAGGGTACGAAGGTTTGTTCTATGTAGACAGTAATGGGTTGAGTGGTGGGTTGGCTTTGCTATGGCGCAAGAATAATATGGCGAAGTTGCTTAGCTACTTAGGGAATTATGTAGATGTTGAGGTAGCTATGCCGGGGAGTGCAACGTGGTGTATGACTGGGTATTACGGCTTCCCGGAGCGTAATAGACGACAAGAGGCATGGAATTTGCTACGGTCCTTGGCAAACCGATCACAACTACCATGGGTGGTGATTGGTGATTTCAATGATTTACTATTCCAGAGGGAAAAGCGTGGGGGAAATCCACACCCGAATGGTCTCCTACGCGGCTTTGGGGAAACCATAGATGATTGTGGGTTGGCGCAGATGCCCATGCAAGGGTATCCTTATACGTGGAAGAAGAGAGAAGGGACGGAGAACTGGTTGGAGGAAAGGCTGGATAAGGTGCTAGTAACTGAGTCGTGGAGGAGGTTGAATGTGCGAGCCAGTGTGTTGAACATGATGACGCGCAAGTCTGATCATTCGGCTTTATATCTGGGAATCCGGGATGATATAAGGGGGATGGGGCGAGGAGCGAAGTGTTTCAGATTTGAAATGTCTTGGCTTCATGATGAGGGGTGTAGGGAGGTGGTGGAGAGAGCATGGGGGGAGGGAAGAATTATGGGGCTACAGGATTGCCTTCAGTTGTGTGGGAGGAGGCTAACTACCTAGGGAGGGGATCGTTTTCATAAGTTTGGGGAGCGGATTAAGCGGTTGCAAAAAGAGCAGGACCGGCTGAGGGGGAGGCGGGATTTAGCTTCTTTGGCTGAGTTTCATCGTCTAGAGGCTGAGTTGTGTAGATTGGAGGCAATGGATGATTCATTCTGGAAACAAAGGGCAAAGCAACACTGGCTGCAAGGGGCGGATGCAAACACCAGCTTCTTTCACAGGTATGCTTCTGACCGTAGAAAGAGAAATGCTTTGAATAGAATAAAAACTGCTGAGGGGGTGTGGGTTGAGGGGAATGCAATGAATCAAACTGTTGTGGACTATTTCCATGGGGTTTTCAGTTCGGGAAATTCCACGGATATAGCCAGTACATTATTTGACATGATATAGCCCAAAGTGACACAGGTACAGAATGAGTCTTTGAATTCCCCCTTTACATATGAAGAGGTAAAAGTGCAGTATTTGATATGTTCCCTGATAAATCCCCGAGACCGAATGGAATGAATCCGGAATTCTATCAACACTTCAGGATGTGGTGGGAGGTGATGTTGCTGCCTTTATTATTAATTGTTTGAATAATGGATCATTCCCCAAGGAAATTAATAGTATGAATGTGGTACTAATTCCGAAAAAGAGCTTGCCTGAATATGTAATTGATCTAAGGCCAATTGCATTGAGTAATGTGGTGTACAGGGTAATGGCGAAAGTGATAGCGAATAGAATGAAACCTTTAATGGAAGGGCTGATTTCTGATTCCCAGAGTGCCTTCATACCGGATAGACTGATAACGGACAATATATTAATAGCTGCAGAAGTAGGCCACTACCTGAATAGAAAGCAATGTGGTGTGGTGGGATGGGGAGCCTTAAAGCTGGATATGGCAAAGGCGTATGATAGAATGGAGTGGGCTTTCTTGCGGGAGATGTTAACAGCCCTGGGATTTAATGATAAGTGGATTGATTTGTTAATGCATTGTGTCACTACGGTCTTGTATGAATTTTTGATAAATGGTCTCCCATCAGGTCAGGTGATACCCACCAGAGGGTTGAGGCAGGGGATCCTCTGTCCCCATATTTATTTATAATATGTGCAGAAGGACTGTCTATGCTCTTGTAACAGGCACAACAACAAGGCAAGATACATGGTTGCAGGGTAGCCAGGGGAGCACCGCCAATATCTCACTTGTTCTTTGCAGATGACAGTCTGCTTTTCTTTAAAGCAAATGTTGAGGAAGCTGGGGAGGTGAAACGGTGCTTGATGGAGTATGAGGCATTATCTGGGCAAGCAGTAAACTATCATAAATCCAGTGTGTGTTTCAGTAAAAATACAACGGAGGATTGCAGGGATCAAGTGGCGCAGCTCTTGGGAGTTCCGAAAGCAGCTAATTTTGGCAAATATTTGGGCCTACCTTCGTTTGTTGGGCGGAGGAAGAGGGCGGTGTTCTCATATATTGAGGACAAAATAAAACAGAGAATAGGCACATGGAATAAGAGGCTGTTATCCCAGGCAGGAAAAGAGGTACTCTTGAAAAGTGTAGCACAATCAATGCCTACCTTTTCTATGAGTGTTTTCTTGCTCCCTGAGGCGGTATGTCAAGCAATCCAGAGAGCAATGAATAAATATTGGTGGGGATCTGGAGTGGACCGCCGTATTCACTGGAAGGCTTGGGACAAGTTATGTGTCCCAAAGAAATATGGAGGTTTGGGTTTCAAAGACCTACGAGCTTTTAAAATTTAGCAATGTTGGGTAAGCAGAGGTGGAGATTTCTGGTAAAACCTGAGTCACTAGTAGCAAGAGTTTATAAGGCAAGATACTACCCAAGAACATCTTTTGAAGAAGCAGTTTTGGGGAATAATCCTAGCTTTTGTTGGCGGAGTATTTTTGCAGCACATAGTTTAATTTGTGGTGGTATAAGGAGGAGAATAGGGGATGGGAAGGATACTTTAATATGGGGACATCCATGGATACCTGATGAACCAGATCCTATGATTCAAACTGATATGCCTCAAGAGTTAACAGGTTCAAAAGTAGTGGGTTTGATTGATCAGGAAACTAGAACCTGGGATCCACATATACTCAGGGACTTATTTGTGGAAGATGATGTGAGACGAATAATCAAAATACTTGTATGCCCGGATTACCCGCATATGTGGCATTGGCAGGGGGACCCAAATGGAAACTATACAGTAAAAGGGGGATACAGACTTGTTGTTGGAAATTATGAGCACATGAATGGGGATTTTAATGCCTGGCTCCGTATGTGGAAGTTGAAAGTACTGCCTAAATGGAAATTATTTTTATGGAAGGCTTTGAGTGGTGTTCTCCCCACCACAACTAATCTTATTACAAGACGAGTAGAAATTGACCCAGCATGTTCGATGTGTGCGAGCTATCCCGAATGTACAATGCATGCTTTAGTGTCTTGTAATTTCTCACAGGCAGTATGGCGGGAATCTACATTGCCTATTATGCATATTATGGCTGATTCTTTTGAGGCTTGGTTTCTTGAGATTATGAAAGTACTCACCACTACTCAATTTGTTATGGCAGCAGCGGCCCTTTATTATATATGGCGGGCAAGGAACCAAGCAGTATGGGAGCATGCTCTTCCAATGCCCAAACGGGTTATGCATGCCGCGGCAGCTGCGTGGCAAGCGTGGAGCACGGTACATGGAGGAGCAGCCACGGTGGCACTTACGGTACCAGCTGCCACGGCTGGAGGCGGGCTGCCGAGAGCTTACGTCGACACCGGCTTCCATGCGTCGGACGGAACGGCAACAGCAGGCGCGGTCGTGATTTCAAGCGAAGGGGAATTTATGGCATGCTTCAGCATGCGAATACCACATTGTCTGTCCCCATTAATGGCAGAAGCTTTGGCATGTAAAGAAGCTTTATCTGGTTGAAAAATAAAGGATTGCTCGCGGTACAACTACATACGGATTGCCGTAATCTACAGCACCACTTAACAACACAAGCCACACGGATGCGAACATATATTGGCTATATCATGGATGGATGCAAGACTATTTTGTCGACTTTTAATTTATGCCCTGTTGTTTACATTCCTAGATTTGAAAATCTCATGGCGCACTCATTAGCGTCGCATGCTTTTACTCAGACTCACACGATGTATTGGGATACTATCCCACCGGATTTTATTGCAGCATATCTCTAATATAATCACCTTCAATGGTGGGTTTCAAAAAAATTATAATAATAATAATAATAATAATAATAATAATAATATAAAGAGGAAGATATGTAATCATATTAACTACATCTGTTACAATTTTATACGTAATCATATTAACAACACACTATGGGTGGTCATAAGATACGTAATCATATTAACAACATACTATGTAGTGTGATGATACAATTTTATACGTAATCATATTAACAACATACTATGGGTGGTCATAAGATACGTAATCATATTAACAACATACTATGTAGTGTGATGATGCCTCTATGTTACCATTCTAAATAGGTGGTCATAAAATCGAACTCTGATGTGCTGAAAATGTTTGAGAAAAAAATACACTCAACGAAAAGAAATGAACTTTTTATAATTATAAATTTTTTTTGCCAATGAACATCAATGAACCGAAATGAACTTTTGTTACTATTTTGATATGTTATACTTAGTATAATGTCGTCTGATTTGAAGTTACGATAACCTTTTATAATTATATTGACATTTGGCTTTATTGACAATAGTTTAATAGTACAAGATAAATTATAGTGTAAGATGTTACTTTTGTAGATATGTATAACGGATCCAGACCAAAGAAGTGAAAAGGGGAAATGTTTGGGAAATGAAAGGCTTTTTCTTTTTTTTTTTACATTTTTACAATGATACCAATTAAGTGGGTATCATTGAAACTTTTGTATGATTTGATTCGATGACTAACTACTACGTATGTATGTATATGGTACATTAGTACGTCCTTACCGTAGTTACCAACAACCAAAATCTGAATAAAAGATAGAAATGGAGCAACGTCAGGCTACTTGCCGGCGAATTCCTCCTTCACCGGAGCTTCTTCACATTGGTCGCCGTTATCTGATTCGCCGTCAGGCGCGGAGGTTGCAGCGGCGGCGGTGGGGTGGGAGGGGGCAGCTCTGGATGCTTTTCTGCCAGGGGCAGCGCCGATGGCGTCGGATTCCTTCGACTTCTTCCGCCGCGTCTTCTTGGGGAGGTGTGGGACGTCTTCAGGGGATTTGGTAACGTCGGAGCCGGAGCCGTCTTTGGAATGGTGACGCCTTTGTCGCGGCTTGGAGGCGGCGGCTTTAGGGGACTCAGGGTTGTCGGAGGCGGAGGAAGACGAAGACTGCCGTCGGGATGACTTTGGTAATTCCGGCGTTTCCCCTCCCGTTCCTGCTCCTTTGCTTTTCCGGCTTTTTTTATCTGCAAATCAAAATACCCATATTCATATTTAACTGGTTGAATCCTCCTCAACCTCAATGGTTTCTTACATCATGTCCCATTAGAATGTTTGAGATCACGGTAACTTAACAACTAAGCAGACAAGACTGAATGACGCAAAGGATCTGCCTACTTTAGATATAATCTTCAAATACCACACTGACCCAACAAAGCATCAATAACTCAATGACTCACAGACAAGACTAAATGACTGTGGGCACAAAAAATCTGCCTACTTTAGACAGGTAACTCAATGACTCAGCAGATAAAACCAAATGACTATGAATACAAAGAATCTGTCTACTTTGGACATAATTTCAACAATGTTGTTACCGAATTTCAAACTTTGATCTCTTCTCTCAAATATTGCATACTAAATCAGTGACTTAAACCGTTCAGACATTAAAATGATATTGTCGATATGGATGTGAGTTCCCTGTATCAAACCTTCAGAAGCCCATTTGATGGCAGGAGTCTCTGTGTTGGTGTTGGGGTCACCCGAACCCGGAGTTGAACCTAGTGGGGCTGATTGCACTTTGAAATCCTTCATCTGTATAATTAAATTAATAAAAATAATCCATCAAACACATTATTCATATTTGGAATCATAGATGAGATAAGATCAGAATTGAACCAAAATGAATTGAAATGAAAACAAAACATACATACCCAGCTTGGGTTTTCTTGGGCAGAAGGTCCATCCCAACCAATATGCGCAACATGCTTAACATCTGTAGGAAACCCTATTTGTATTTCTGCATCCTTTTCTTCTTCTGCACCCATTCATCAACAACAACAATGCTTGTTAATTGGAATTGAATTGGATGATTGTGATTATAATTCATTAATATAACTCACCAAATATGGAGGATATGTATTTGAACCCTCTGAATAGACCTTTCACCTTCGTGCTCATATTCCAAACCAATCTGGCCTATATATATATATATATATATATATATATATATATATATATATATATATATATATATATATATATATATATATGTATATTAAATATTAAATAATAAAAAATATATATATATTATAATAAAGTTTGTGATTTCCTAAACTCGAGTTTAGGTTGGGGATGCTACCTAGGTAGTATGGATGATAGGTTGTTGTTGGTTGGTTGGGTGGAATTTCTTCAAGAAAAACTCTTAACCCAAACCTCCCCCAACAGTTCACTCTACTGGGAGAAATGGAGACCCAAAATGGTGTTAAAGCAACTTTCAATGGCGATGCATTCTTGGTTAATACAAACCAGACGTAGATCGCTACTTTAGGAGTGGAAATAATCAACAAATACCATTTCCCATTTCATTACATTTACATGGTTCAAGAGGAAAAATAGGACCCACAAGTTCTACCATATGTATTTATTGTTAATATATTTTTACACATGCATTAATTATTATGTAGTAATTTTTTTTTATGTAACAAAAGGTAAAATCGTCCACTCCAAACACCCCCACAAGATTGTGGATAAATAAATCATTGTGACTCAACAAATAACAATTGATCAACAATGACTAGATTTTGGTTCACTGCGCACAAAGAGCCCCTCATTTGAGAAGTTAGCTCCCACACTACATTAGTGAGACTCAATCCTTGGTCTACAAATTTCATCATTAATTTTTTCTATTACATAGTAGTTAGGTACTTTCTCATATCACATTAACTAGAACACATTATAATGTTGCAGAAGGTGCTAGTCAAACATCCAAGAGGCACATAACACCTAGGGATTCCTCCTAGACAATCAAGTAATTCAAGTATATCATTCCACTCAAGACTATGCGTTGTTAATAAACTACATATGTTAAATGGTTAATTGAGTACATGACTGGAGAAATATAGAAGAACAACCGAACAAGCAAAAAACACCACTCGACCAAGTTAAACATCGACTTAATCTAGTTGGCCACCAATGGGGCAGAGTTAGGCATCGAGGACACCTAATCAACCGGTTAGTCGGTCAGCCAACTAAAAGCAGCCTAGGGCTAAAATCGCCTCAGCCTAGGAGCACCTCGCACCTAGTCAACGCCTAAGCAGCCGCCTAGGCCAATTTTTACACCACTGCACATTATTGTATACCTCACGTCATGCAACAGATATCGTCAATCACCTACAATACAATTTTGATAATAATATGTTTGAACATTGTACCACATAACAAAAAAGATAGGGGTAGGAAGTAAGATGATGTGAAAAACATGACCAAAAAAATAAAATAAAACAAAACTTTTGATGAGCAGAGATGAAATGTCCTCCTTGGGCTCAATGAAGCATTTGATTTTGGGACAAAATATATCACATGACAACACAGCAAAAAGACATTTACTCCTCCATGCGCTTTTCTTCTGATTGTTGTTGTGAAACCTTGACCTTGATGGGCAAGGTGAGGGATGGATCTTGTTGGAGAACAGAAGGAGCTTTGACCAAGTGGATACCCTGCTCCAGTTCCCTTGCTGCTTCTTTCTGCTTTCGAAGTTTGTTGGGTCTCATCCTGGAGAATGTTTTCAAGAAAATGTTAATACAAAAATATAAAATGGATCCTCCAGAGGGTACAAATATAGACCAATTCGAACCTGTTTTTGTGGTGAGCAGCCTCCCTAGCAATTCTGACTTTATCGATTTTCTTTATGGCCTTCAAAGTGTTTTCTGTTACATTCTTGTCAAATCTCTCTGGCCTATTTCTCTTCCTCTCAAATTCAAATGTTGCGTCCTTCCAATTCAAATATTCCAAGAACATAAATGAATGGTAATAGAAAGTACTGTCAGTAACAACTGAACTCACTAAAGGGAAAGAAAATAGGTTCACAAGAAATCCTGCAAACCTGGGTCATGTCCTTTCCATGTAACCGTCTATAGGCCTTAGTCCACTTAACCTTACGAGGATTCCTCTTCATCTTAAAGTTCTTGTGACATTTAGATCTGCAGAACCGAAAAATCTGCAGATGAAGAAAACCATGAATTATCAGTTAAGGTGAACCAAAAAAAAACAAGAGCCACCCATCTACTCGTAAATATACTTGCTCGGACAGATACAAAAATACCACCATAAATACCACCATAAACAACACAACTTTACTCTGTCCAGCCATGTTTCTTAACCATATGCATCATCAACAAGGTGCATATACATATATAATTAGCTCCAATACCACCAACAATTGCCAAAACAATGACCAAAAATGGGGGTAACCCCAGCCAAGATGGCAAGTGATCCACACTTGTAACCACAAGGTCACGAGTTCGAACCCTTGCCCCCTTGGTTTGAGCCGGTCAGCTATGGGTGGTCCTTTACCGGCTAGGGTCACAAGGCGGGGTTTACCTGCACCCAAAAGGGTTGTGGGGTTTTCCTCGGTCATCCAAAAAAACAGACCAAAAGCACATGAAAGAGGATAAATTGAATAAAAAAGATGTTCTCTTTTATAAATTAGACTCCCATTAGTTAAAGAAAACAAAAGAACACTCTTTTACAAATGAGACTTCCATCAGTTTAAGAAAAATTGATCATTATATCATCTATGCAGATGAACTGCTAGCTAAGTTGGAAAAGCCAAAATTCCAAATTATTTATTTGAACTGATATTTCAAGAGCCAACTATGCACTACCTACCCAGACATGTGAATAAACTGCAGCAATATATGCTACTAAGCAATATGTACTGAATCCCTGTCATTATACACTACTACTGCAGTAGTGTATTGAATCCCACCAAAAGACTAATATGCATCTAGGGCACAAAACAAGGTCGCCTACTAATTTGGCACTCCCAATTCCTAAAAAGCATGTGATCTCAACGCATATAATAACAGAGCTGATAAAATTTAAAAAAAAAAAAAAAAAATCAGCGAAAATATCATACCTTTGCATCGTTTCGAACAAATTGAATACCATGGCCTGGGTAGATAGTTGATGAGCAAAACCAGCACTTTTCCAACCTCATTATGTCTTCAACTTATACAGCGAAAATTCAGACGAAGGGCAAACTAATTAGACAAAAACCGAAAGTGTAATCTTTTGAGAAATTACTGAAAGTTTAAGCAACTCTAGCAGAAGATCACTAGACTACGAGCTAAAGCTATGAACTCAAAGCAAATAGTGGAGAGAGAAACATACCGGCGACCGCTGTCTTCAAAGGATGGCTGTGCAGGAGAACCGTCTCGGGTTAGGGCAGCGTAAAATTGCCTAGCATATATACAGGATTACAGGGAAAGAACAATTTTGCTAAATGGTCCACCAAATTTGACAAATAATATGAAATGCCCCACGTTTTCGGCCAGAGTCAATTTATCCCCAGCAATATATGTATTCATTTGAAGGGTTTTTCCCCTTCTTTTGTTTTGTTTTTTTTTTTTTTTAAGAAGAGTTTTAATCTATTTATCTATACACTATTAATAAAAACAAAATTGCTCAAACTACCTTCCTACTTATTAATATACTAGTATTTTGTACGCGCGATGCGCGAAAATTCATGCCCAATATTAAAACATTGATAAATACAAATAATTAAAAATTATAATTTGAATTATATATACACAAATAATATATGTATTTTGTACACGCACATATATAATTTATCATTCGTAGAAATTTAATTAAAATATAACTAAGCATTAAATTAATATATAATGATTTTAATAAAATGATAATTAAAAAATAGGAAAAAAGATATGATAGATATAGGTGTATGGTAATAATGATGTGTTATCAATGTTAGAATTAAAAAACTAACGATGTTATAACGGTGTAAGGATAGTTTTGTCAAATAACATTGAAATGTACAACATTTAAAGTAAAATGTACATATTTATTTGCATACAAAAAGATGGACATAAATCAAGGATATAACCTTAATTGAGGCTTATTATGTTTTTAGATAAAATTTAATAATTATTATGATAATTAAGCTAATATAATTACACAAATATTAGTATAATTAACTAATAATAATTAAAGTAATTAAGTTAATAAATAGCATAATAATAGTATAATTACAATTAAACATGCGTGGTTGAATTTATTTTATCATTGAGCTAAGATTGTTGTCCAATTAATTTATCAAATTAATTATTTTGTTGGTTTGTACCTATATGTCTATCGATTACACACCACATACACAGTACACACACACACACACATATCTCTTCTAGCTCTACGGCGGGTTCCGAGCCTTTCCTCAATGGCTCTTTTTCCAATCATTTGTCTACGGTGATCACGGATGGTTGTCCTTCCCCCAGTTTCTGACAGGGTTTCCCGTGACATTCACGAGCCAACTATTGGTCCCCGTAAACTACCTCGATCCTGCTTGGGGTGTAGAACTTCAGGCACAAGTGTTCCATTGATATGATTCCCCCCACGGCCCCACGTCTGTCAACCCTGGCCTCCCTAGGATGATGTTGAGGGCGCATGTCATCTTGACGATCACGAAGTTCATCTCTACTTGTCGCATGTTTGGAGGAGCCCCTAACTCCACAGGCAACCGTATGGACCACTCAGTCTTGATGGTATCCCCCGTAAATCCAGCAAGTGAAGTTTTAATGGGGCGGAGCTTACCCTGGGCGAAGCCCAACTTCTCAAGACTTTGTGATACATTACGTTAACGCTGCTCCCAGTATCCACTAGGACTCTCCTCACCAACATCCCGTTCACTCTCACCGAGATGACCATAGCATCTTTGGGCGAGGATTTCTTGCTTGGATGTCATCATCTGAAAAGGTAATGATTTCCCTTCGTTGCTTCTTTGGGGCGGGCATCTCCCCTATCGACTCCACATACTCTTCTCCTCCTATCACAAGGGACCACCCTCCGAAGATCATGTAGACAGGGGATCCGCCTCTATCGTCGGCTTCCCTCGCGGGTCCCTTTACCTATTTTGCAGGGTTGTAAAAATCCCGCCTAGGCACCGAGTAATCGGCGCCCCTAAGCCGTGGCGATTTCCCCTCTACGCTCCCGCCTAGGAGACTGGCCGCCTAGGCGCCCGCCTAGCGCCTAACTCGTCCGATTATGCCGAGTTAACTCGTCAATTTCTGTCGAGTTAGCCGAGTTAACCCGACCGACTCGACCTTGCTAATTTTTTTCATTTATATATATATATATATATATATATATATATATATATATATATGTGTGTGTGTGTGTGTGTGTGTGTGTGTGTGTGTGTGTGTGTGTGTGTGTGTGTGTGTGTGTGTGTGTGTGTGTGTGTGTGTGAGAGAGACATATATGCACTTACACACGTGCACTGTTTTTTTTTTTTTCAGTTAGCCGCCTAGGCCGCTTAGGCCCCGCCTAGGCCGTCTAGGCGCTAGGCGCTACTCTACCCCCTGACTAGCGCCTAGCGCCTATTGCAACCATGCTATTTTGTCGTCCGAGCTGGAGCACTCCCACCCTTAAAGGAGGGAGGGGTCTCCCCTGCTCCCCCGCTGGCTTGGCGGGCTGAAGACATGTTTATCAGCTCGACCATTTTGGCGTACTTGGGCTTATACGAGAATGGATAGAGATGGCACCAATGATGGTTTTATCAGGACCAAGTCCACCATAAACAGGGTACAGAAAATACAGAACAGAATAAAAGAACGATACTTTTATTATCGGGGCGTGAGGCCCAGTTGGAAAGTGTACAAAGCCCAAAGGTCACAGGCCCAAAGCGGTGGCCCAAAGAATATACAAGTAAATAATCAAAGAACTATGAGACGAATATATATAACAGAATAAGGAATTTAAGGACGGACAAATAAATAACAAAAGGACTAGTAAATAAACCACTTGACCAGTTACGAAATATACAAATTTAACAAATTAGTGCAAATCACAATTTTTACATCATGCCCACATGGTTAAAAGCCACACGCTCAACCACTGAGCTAAGATAGTTGTCCAATTAATTTTTCAAATTATTTATCTTGTTTGGTTTGTACCTATGTCTATCGATTACACACCACACACACACACATAGACAGACACAGACACATATCTTGTTTGGTTTGTACATATATCCTCACTCAACACATTCTCTGTTTCTCAACAAACCTCACGAGTCACAACAACACAGAAACATCGCGACAAGCCAACGATGCCACCATTTTAGAACATTGAGATGTCATATAAGTCCTAGTGTACGTATTACACATTGATTAGAGAAAAATATATATTTAGATATACTATCTTATATGCACATTTGAACAAAATTTTAAAAATAAACAAATAAATAATCTTATGGCGATGGTTAGCTAGGTGAGTGTGAAAATTAGATGTGCCCAACTAGTGTCACGCATGTATAACACCTACGGGGCACATTAAAAGTTCTCGATGCACCACTATTTTTTTTTTTTTGGGTTTAGTTTTATTTTTATATATATAACATAAATAATTATAATTGAATGATAAATTATTTAATTAAAAATATAATAAATAAATAAAATAAAGATGATTTAAATGGTGGTGGACCCTCAAATATGCATGTATAATGGGGAGATGAGATATTAGACATAAATGAATATTGTATGATAAAGTGAAAGGAAAAATATTTAAAAAGAGGTATGTGGATGAAAATTTAATTTTCAACTACTTACGAAATTCAAAAAGTAAGTTGTTTGAGAAATATTTATGAATATTATAGGCTAAAGTGTCATCGGGCACCATGAATTATACCCTATTATTCATGCCGCACCCTAAACTTTCAAAACGTATATTTTGAACCACAAACCAATAATTTTTTTTCGTCTAGAACTTTTTGCAGGTTACCCAGTTAATATGATGACATGGCACTGGTTATGAGCTGATGTGTACCTTCTTTTGTGCTTTAGTGGACCCTATATTCCTAAATAAATCATCTTAGACCGGTCTCTTCATTTCTTCATCAAGAATTGAACAAACTTCCAATGTGTGATTACGCTTGATTTTTTTTCTCGTTCTTCCACTTCCGACGGTGGCTTCATTCGCCGGCGGCAGCTCTTCCTCTTGGAGTGGCAATCTTTAATTTCTAGGTTGCATGAACGCCTAACGTTTGCTGAAGATGAAACCAGAAGCTGCTGCGTTGAACCTGGAAATAAATCAGCTGCAAATGAAAACGAATACGCTGGAAATAGAAGCTGTCGCGAATACGTATGATGAGCCTGGAAATGAATATACTGTTATGTATGATGAACTTGGAAGGCAGTACAACTCTTTACCATTTGAAAAATAGCTCGAATGCAACCATTCAACTCCTTACCATTTGAAAAATAGCTCGCATTCCGGAGAATCTGCCAGCAAATCTGCCAGTAAATCTTCCCAAGAAGTGGGACAAGGTTGAGCTTGAGGAGATGTCATGTATTGAGTATTGCGTCATTGAAGGTGGTGAGAGTAAAGAAATAATGGGCAGAAAGGGCACCTAAGAGAGAGATTATGTTTTTTTTTTTTAAAAAAAAAAAAAAAAAAAAAAAAAGAGGGATTATAAACAGTAGATACAAGGCATGTGTAATCAAGAAATGGAAAAAATGGTTCAAATGTTTCAGTCTGCAGCTTGATGGGAGAATATTGTTGTTGTTCTTTTGTGTGTCCATTGTCAGCTAGGTACAAAACCATATAACAATAATCTATGTGTTCTTGGATGATTGGCTGATGATTGCATTGATTTTAAAGTGTAACTTTGAGATGAAAATTTTGTAAGTGAGTGCCTCACAGTCTGGTTTGTGCTTAAAAAAAAATCTTTTACAGTACAAAGGCCATCTTCTACAGGTAGGATCTTATTCCTTGTACAACTTCATCACCTTTATTCACCTCATCCACATAATGAGTATCCTCCGAACCAAGCGTACGTGAAACCATAGGATCAAGGCAACTATTCTGGCCAAAACAACAATGCTGAGATTTTTCCCCGTTATCCCCAACCGCTTGTGAACTAGAAAACACTGGCGGCATCCCATTCTTAGTCACCTGTCTATCAAACCCAGAGTTTCCGGCGACCAAATCAGTTCCAATTTTGTCTCCAGCCGGCGGGGCATCATCGTGCGTCAAATAATGACCATGGAACATAGTTGGTCTCCACACACCAAAGAGATTGCGAACCCATTCTAATGAGCATCTATTTACAAAAAATAATAATAATAATAATAATAAAAATAATCTATGTCAATATATTACCGGTTTGTCTACAGCCGGTGGGGCATCATCGTGCGTCAAATAATGACCATGGAACATAGTTGGTCTCCACACACCAAAGAGATTGCGAACCCATTCTAATGAGCATCTATTTACAAAAATAATAATAATAATAATAATAAAAAATCTATGTCAATATATTACCGGTAACCTGTAGAAAACCTTGCTAAAAGTTCTAGGTGGAAAAAAATTACTGGTTTGTGGTTCAAAATATATGTTATGAAAGTTCATGAATAATCGGATATAGTTCATGTTGCGGGATGACACTTTAGCCAATATTATATGATAATGTAAAAGAAAAGTATTTAAACAAGTGTTTATGAGAGAAAATTAAAATTTTGACCAATTACAAAATATACAAATTTGACATAAGTGTCTAAACATTCATTCACCATTTGTGGGGATTGAACCCACAACCATGTGGTTAAAAGCCACACGCTCTACCACTGAGCTAAGATGATTATCTAATTAATTTATCAAATTAATTATCTTGTTTGGTTTGTACCTATATGTATATCGATTACACACCACATACACACACCCACCTATATCTCTTCTAGCTCTACGGCGGGTTCCGAGCCGTTCCTCAATGGCTCTTTTTCATATCCTTTATCTACGGTGATCACGGGTGATTACCCTTCCCCTAGTTTCTGGCAGGCTTTCCTGTGACATTCATGAGCTAACTGTTAGTCCCCGTAAACTACCCCGATCCTGCTTGGGTGTGGAACTTTTGGCACAAGTGTTCCCTTGACAGGATTCCCCCTACGTTTGTCAACCCTGGCCTCCCTAGGATGATATTGTGGGTGCAAGTCATTCTGACGATCACGAAGTTCCATCTCTACTTGTCGCATATTTGGAGGAGCCCCTAACTCCACGGGCAACCGTATGGACCCCTCAGTCTTGATGGTATCCCTCGTAAATTCAGCAAGTGAATTTTAATGGGGCGGAGCTTACCCTAGGCGAAGCCCAGCTTCTCAAAGACTTCGTGATACATTACGTTAACGCTGCTCCCGGTATCTAGCAGGACTGGCCTCATCGACATCCTGTTCACTCCAACCGAAATGACCATAACATCTTTGGGCGATGTTTTCTTGCATGGGAGGTCATTATCTGAAAAGGTAATGGTTTCCCTTCGTTGCTTCTTTGGGGCGGGTGTCTCCCCTATCGACCCCACATACTCTTCTCCTCCTATCACAAGGGGCCACACTCGGAAGATCATGTAGACAGGGGATCCGCCTCTATCGTCGGTTTCCCTCGCGGGTCCCTTTACCAGTTTTGTCATGCGAGCTGGAGCACTCCCACCCTTAAAGGAGGGAGGGGTCTCCCCTGCTCCCCCGCTGGCTTGGAGGGGGTGAAGACATGTTTCGTAGCTCGACCATTTTGGTGTACTTGGGCTTATATGAGAACGGATAGAGATGGCACCAATGATGATTTTATCAGGACCAAGCCCACTACAAGCGGGGTATAGGAAATACAGAACATAATAAATGAACGATACTTTATTATCGGGGCGTGAAGTCCAGTTAGAAAGTGTACAATGCCCAGAGGACACAGGTCCAAAATGGCGGCCCAAAGAATATATATATAAGTAAATAATCAAAGAACCATGGGACGAATATATATAACATAATAAGAAATTGAAGGACTGACAAATAAATAACAAAAGGACTAGTAAATAAATAGAATAAAATAACCTAATAATGTTATCAAGCACACCAAAGAAGGGAAAAGATCAGACCACTTGACCACTTACAAAATCTTAAAAATTTACAAATTTAACAAATTAGTGTAAATCACAACTTTGACATCATACGAACCCAAAAAAAGTAAACGAATTTGGCATAAGTGTTAAAGATTTATTTTCATTCACCATCTGTGGCGATTAAACCCACGACCACGTTAAAAGTCACGCGCTCTACCACTGAGCTAAGATGGTTGTCCAATTAATTTATCAAATTAATTATCTTGTTTGGTTTGTACCTATATGTATATCGATTACACACCACATACACAGACACATGCATACATATCTTGTTTGGTTTGTATATATATCCTCATTCGACACATTCTTTGTTTCTCAACAGACCTCACGAGTCACAACAACACAGAAACATCGCGACAAGCCAACGATGCCACCATTTTAGAACATTGAGATGTCATATAAGTCCTAGTATACGTATTACATATTGATTAGAGAAAAATATATATATTTAGATCCATACAACACTATGTGGACCATTGTTCACACAATAATTTGCCTTCTTCAATCGTTATGCTATGGACCCGTGTCCAGCATGCATGCTGGACACGGGTAACAGTGCCGTTAGGCACTGTTATCTTTTTTTTTTTTTTTTTTTTTTTCTTTTTTTTTTCCAGACCGCTTCGTTATAGGAGTATATGTTCATAATTTTATTACTATATGTTCATAATTGTAAGTTCATAATGTCAGAGCTCTATGTTCATAATTCCATAACTGTACATTCATACTTTCATAACTGTACATTAATAATTCCGTAAATGTACATTCACAATTTTAGTGCTCTATGTTCATAATTTTATCACTATATGTTCATATTGTAAGTTCATAATGCCAGAGCTCTCTGTTCATAATTGCATAACTGTACATTCATAATTCCGTAACTGTACATTCATAATTCAATAACTGTAAAATCATAATTTTCAAAGCTCGGTTCACAATTTTAGAGCTCTATGTTCATAATTGTATCATTATATGTTCATAATTGTAAGTTCATAATGTCAGAGCTCTGTTGTCATAATTTTATAACTTACATTCATAATTCCATAACTGTACATTCATAATCTCATAACTGTACATTCATAATGGCACAAATGAATAACGCTGTTAACGGCGAGACAAAATCAAAAACTTTTTTTAAAAAAACTGAAATGACGCGTTTTTCCTGAAAACGACGTCGTTTTGGACTCGTGTCCACAATGCATTGTGGACACGAGTCCACTGCATAATTTGCGGTTAACCACCTATAGTTCTTTTTGGCTATCTTGGTTTCGAGTATTTGACTAGGAATGGTAATATGTCCCGACGAAGACGGAAACGGAGATATAAAAAATTTTCGGAGAACGGAAACAGGGACGGGATATCCCTCCCCGTCCCGTCCCCGAATAATAAATAAATAAATATATATATATATATATATATATATATATATATATATATATATATATATATAAAATTCTAAAATTAAGATTTAAGTTTTTAGTTTTTAAAATTAAAAATTACACTAATTTAAAATTTTGACTAAAAATTAACTAAGGACAGAGAATCCCGTCCCCGCATAATTTCCCGCGAAGACAAAAATGGAGACTATTTTCATTTTCCCGTCAAGAATGAGGACGAGAACGGGGACGGAGTTTCGAGGACGAGGACGGGGAGTATACTCCCCGCCCGTTGCCATCCATATATTTGACTAATCTTTAGTGATTGTTTTCCTGAAGGTGAGCTTATGTTGCTCTAGAGTTCCCTAACATCAACTTCATGTCCGACCATAAATGCTGAATAGCTAAAGTTCCAAACTTTGTTTCAAATTTTTAGAGTTAATACCATCTCAGATCATCTGAGTATAGTACTTTTGCCACGTTTAGTCCTAAACTTTTAAATTGATCATCTATATGATTCTTCGACTGTCAAATTGTTACCATCATTGATCCAAATTAATCATCTATGGTCTTTCAACTATTTAATTTTAACCAACCATGGTTCTTCCAAGAGGACCACGACTAATTAAATTTCGAAAGTTGAAGGACCATGGGTGGTTAACTTGGACCACGAATGGTTAAGTTTGAAAGTTGAATGACTACAAATGGTCAATTTAAAAGTTTAGAACTAAACGTGACCAAACCATTATACTTGGATGACCCAATGTGACATCAACTCTAAATTTCTTACAGCATGTTTGGTTCACGGAATGAATTTTGAGGTAATAGGAATGTTATTCCATAAGAAATGGAATAGGCAAGGAATAGAATATGAATTGTATTCTATTGTTTGGTTCGCGGAAGGAATAGTCTTTAGGAATTATATTACTGTGTTTGGTTGGTTTAAGGAATAAAAATGAAATATGTTTTAAAAGACATAAAGACCCTTATAAAAATATGTGTTGGTGATGGTGGTGGAGGTGGTGGCGGTGACGGCGATGGTAGCGACAGCAGTTGTAGTAGTGGTAACAGTGGCGGTGATGGTGGTGGCGGCGGCAGCGGTAGTGGTTAGCGGCGGCCCATTTCAATATTTTATGTAATCAACATACAAAGTTTCTAAAATAAGCCCATTTCAAATAAAAATCTTAAAAAATCCAACCCAACATACAGGCCTAGCCCATATACAACTGAGCCCCAAACCCTAGCACTATAAGCTTCCTCCTTCCTCCTCGCAAAACCCTAACATTGGACTACTGCCCTCCGGCCTAAGCTCACGTTCCCCTGCTCTTTCAGACCGCCGAAAATGGTTAGCCTCAATCGAAATGCTCTCTTTAATCTTTCATTTTTATCTTCTTTTCGCTTTGAAACTCCATAATCATCTTGTTTTACTCCTTTTTTAGCCGTTCAAGAGGTACGTGGAGATCGGCAGGGTCGCGCTCGTTAACTATGGCAAGGACTACGGCAAGTTAGTCGTCATCGTCGATGTCATCGATCAGAACAGGGTAATTTCTTACTGTCATAGAAAGAATGAGGAAATTGTACTGTTTGGCATGCTTTTTCTCATTTAAAGTGTACTATTTGTGTTTGTTTCTACTTTAAAGTTCATAAGTGTTGATGGTGCCAATGATGGGAATACATAGATTTGCCTACATTGTCTGATATTATGATCTGACAGAGAAATGAGTATGATCTGAGGCCATTCCTAATATGCTGTAATATACTCCAGTCATTGCTGCAATCTAATCATACTAGTATAGAGATCTCTTGCAATTAGTTTCTTGGAATTTCTCGATTTCTTTATACTTTGGTTGTTTTGCCTTTTGGTACATGGTGCAAAACTGCAAATACTATAGTATTATTTGTAAACATGAGACGTCACTTATCTCTTAAGTCCTACATTTCTACATCGTCTTTTGACCATACTAGGAACACCCTCTCTAATATGTGTATCCAAAGCTGGATGTTGGCTAGTGGTTCTTTATCATGCTGCTTTTTCTTAACATAGTTGATTCGTTGATTAGTTTTGTATTTATTCAAAAGATTTGTAGCCTGACTGTTTATGCATCTGCGTATTGATAGGCTCTTGTTGATGCTCCTGACATGGTGAGGAGCCAAATGAACTTCAAGAGACTTACACTCACTGACATAACCATTGACATCAAAAGGGTTCCCAAGAAGAAGACTTTGATTGCAGCAATGGAAGCAGCTGGTGAGTTATTGCTTGTTAACTTGGCTAAATATGTTCTTCGCTTTTGTCTAAATTTTGTTTATGTTGCCAGATGTAAAGAATAAATGGGAGAACAGTTCCTGGGGAAGGAAGTTGATAGTGCAGAAGAGGAGAGCCTCTCTGAATGATTTTGACAGGTTTAAGATTATGTTGGCAAAAATCAAGGTGGGTTTATAATGTCTAGATTTTAAAAATATCCGTATATTCAAAACTTTAAATGTTATTATGCTGTCATAAAGCGGAGAAAATGAATGAAAATGTAATTTGCAACTGTCTACCATAATTATTCATCAGGATAGAGAACACAATTGAGAAATTTTGTGCCTTTCCTTGCTGCTTCTTACCTTGTGGTTTTTTTTTTTGTTTGAATTCTTCAAATGGTATCTTTTAGGGGGCATTTGGTTCAATGGAATGTTAGATTGCCTTGGGGAATGTTAGATTCATGTGTTTGGTTTAAAACTAAGATATATAAATAAGATAACGGTCATAAGATAAATTGATTAGAAAATACAAAGCCCAACATTAGTAATAATACAAGGGAATGTGAGATTACCTAAGAAATTGGAGGATATCTCACATTCCCTTCCAATAGTTAAAAATTTAATGCGGAGGTGACATAACCTGAACCAAACATGGTAATCTTATATTACCAAGCAAATATAATCCTGGTTATCATATATAACCTGAACCAAACGCCCCCTTACTGTATATATATATATGAAACTTCCCATACCATTAATTATTATATTATTTCATGAAAGGCTTTGTAAATTGTTGATTTGTTGGAATCTAATATTATCTTAATGGTAATGCAATTGCAGAAGGCTGGCATTGTAAGGCAGGAGCTTTCAAAGCTTAAGAAGGAGAGCACAGCCTGAGAGAACAATAGTGTACTCAGATACTGTGATTTTATTATAAACTAGTTTTTGGTGTTGTATTTTTTAGCTTTCAAGGATTATTTTTTCTTCTGGTTTTGTTGCAGCTAGAGAACATACATACTATTATCATGTCTCAAGTGTTTTTGGACATAATTTTGGTTTGATCTTTTATGAGTTTTGACATAATCTGTAGTGACTATATTCTTTTCAGGATTATGTTTTCATTCTAATCTTTATAGGGGTTTTTGAAATTTGACAACCAAAAATGCTGGATGAACAAAAAATGAAACCTTCTGTAATTTGTTTTATATTATAATAAGGAAAAATTACATCTTTAGTCCTTGAGTTATAATCAAGTTTTGACTAAGTCTTTAAGTTATGGTAGTATTTGAGTTTAATCCCTCAGTTATGAGCAAAGTGATGATAGTCTCTAGCGTTGATATTCTGTCTGCAGTTAATGGAAAATTTAAAAATAATTTAATAATAGAGGGCAAATTATGCTTTTTAAAGATGCAATTTTCCCTTATAATAATATAGAGGATGTGGTTTGTGCAAGAATTAATATCCAAAAATTGGATTTTGAAATATAGAGAATTAATCTATTTCATCTTTCAAATTTAAATTATATACATTCAGATTTTTAGTGACTCCAAAGAACCACAAGCACCCAATTTTAAGCTTCCAAAATTCAAAACTCTATTTTTATTTGTACTTCAAACTTGATCTGTCTCTCTACTGTGACGCTCCTGTATATTGAATTCTGGGGGAAGGGGCGGCATTAGTTGGAGTTAATAAACCACATCCTCAAGTAAAAATTGGCTTCAAATCATACATGCATAATCCAGTTCCACCTGGGAATAATAAATAATTCTGTTGCAGAAATAAATCCTCTTCATTTAGAATGGTAACAGATGTGTCCATTTAGAATGATAACAGACGTATCATCACTCACACTAAATGGTAGTTAGCATACAACATATTCATTACCATGTTTATTTGCTACTACCCAAATTCCACAAATATTTCTACTACGCATAACTCATCCTTCCCTCGGATGGGTAGTATGATCGTTACAATGGCCAGAAACTCGATAAAAAATAACTGAATAAGTATTGATATCAGCTTTAGTTCCAGGACAGTAAATCTTTTGATTTACACACCTTCAATAGCCTCTGATTTTTTCTTTTTAAAATTTTAAGACACGTAATTTATCTTTACAAATGCATCACCTTACTTTCTGATGGAGAGGAAATCAAAGCTACGAAGAAAGTCGTCACGTGTGCCCTTTGTGACTCCAGTCCGGGAGTAGGATGATGTTTTAGATTCCACCCTCTGAGCCGTGGACAAACGCCCACTGCTTGAGACTAATCTGTTTGAGCGAACACCATCAGTGGCCTCCCTGCTGCTTGCAATGGTGCCTCTCCTCGAACTTCCATTTCGCAATGTGTTACCATTTTCTGAATCAGCTTGCTGTAGGTAATAGTCAGAAGCAGGTAAATTATACAACTTTTCTTCTATTACTTGACTGAAAGTAGGATATATTCTATGAATAAAACTAACAATTGAACTAATAACTAAGGTGGTGTTTGGTTGAGGACTTTTTGCACCCTACTATAGATTTTGATACTCATTACCATGTTTTTTTTAACACTCATGATTCTTTACAAGGTAGTATATGCAGTCTCATACTTTCTCAATCTCTCCCGGTCCAAAGAATCAATGCCCCCACCACTAAGGTTTAATCCTGTGACCACCCATTTAGAATGGTAACAGAGGTGTCATCACACTACATGGTAGTTGGCATACAGCATATTCATTACCATGTTTGTTTGCTTATAAATTTTGTTACCCTACTATTGGAATCAAATCCTTTTTTTTTTTTTTTAATTTCAAATTGGAGGGGGGTAACCCCAAAAACAAGAGATCAACAGTCTGTAGTAAGTCGCCACATAGGAACCTGGTTCAGATCATCTAACAGCAGACATTTAACATGGTCTGGAGGATTTGGAATCAAATCCTTTAGTAATTACAAAACACATTACCCTTTTACTCATCTACTTTTGAACAATAGAATAAAAAATATGGGGAAAAAATGGAAAAAATAAAAAGGTCATTATCCATGCATTAAATATGGAATTTTAATATATATATATATATATATACACACACACACACACACACACACACACACACACACACACACGTGTATATATTTGTATTATATATTCTTATATTTATATTTTAATTAATTAATTAATTAATTAATTACGGAGTATTTATTTTGATTCCGATTCCTATGTACTACCAAACAATTTGACTCCTACTTAAACCTATTACTATTACCAAGTATTTGATTCCCATTACCATTCCAATATTTGAACCAAACACACTAAATTTTGGCAAAACTTACAACATATTTAGATGATTGAATATCCTCTGACTTCTGCCTCGACTGATCAGCATGCCGACCAGAACCTACCCCATTTCTCCTTGAAAATGCTTCAACAGCACCTGAAAACTTGTCTCTGATATCTTGCCCCACTGGACCCAAAATAAAATATCACGTGTCATGCAATGAAAATTTGTCAGAGCAGTAATTCTTTAGACTCTACAGGGGAGGTCAAATATTATTTATGGATCGAAATGGATGTGCCAAACTCCTCAAATCGTGATTCAAGTGAAAAAGGTGAGAGAATTCAGGTAAGGAAAAATAACATGGTTCCAGTAATTCCTGAAAATGGGCGAGTTACAGTTTTACAAGTCACTTTTTGTTTGAAGATGAAATACCAGATGTCCTTCCTTGTCTTTCTGCAGATGGCCCAGCATCTAATCCTGCACCCCCACTGGGATTCTGGCAGAAAGAAGTCATAAAAGAAGAGCAACATATGTGAACACAGTGAAGAAAATGTTTCCCACAAGAAAATATAAAAAATAGAAAAGAATAGTTTTACAGGACTAACACGTCCTCTAGAACTGGTGCCGCCAATCTGAGGATACTTCAAAATTGTCCAATCGAAAACATAGTCAAATTGATAGCCTGGAAGCAGTAAGGATGTTAGAATGCAGAGACCACAGCATACAAATCACAAAATAACTAATTACTAACATTAGGACAAATAACATAGAAATAGGACTGTTTTTTTTACCTTCCCGAATGAATAAATCTCTAAAAAGCCGCTTCAGATATGAATAGTCAGGTTTGTCTTCAAAACGTAATGATCGACAATAGTGAAAGTATGATGCGAATTCAGATGGATACGATTTGCAAAGCACCTGTCATCAATAATTTACATACTGTGTGAGTTCTTTCCACCAATTTCATGGCAGAAGCAGTCTATCAGAATCACCAAAAAGTCAATAACAAAGATGCAGATATAGTTCCTACTCTATAATTACCTCTATAGGAGTTATCATCTTCTTCTCACTGATTCTATCATATTTCTGCTTTTTGGTACCAGCTCTTAATCCTTGCCAGGGAAGACTGAAGCAAGAAGAAATTGTCTTAGGCTAGGATGTAAAAAGTTGTAGAGTATAAACTATGTAATAGGATTTCAATCCAGGTATGAAAAACACTCCTGACAAGAAAAAAAGTAACCACCCTTAAATTCCAACCTTCCTCTGAGGAAGTACATAAGTACATAACCCAAAGACTCCAAATCATCCCTCCTGCTTTGTTCTGACAGGAAAAAGTAACAGATTGATGATACTTTAGAAAAGATTCTGAAACTAAATCAAGATGTATTTCCAATAAGCTGGCAATTCAAAGTATAGGTGATAAACTTACCAACTCCAAGGTGTGTGTTGACACTAGCATAGCGAGCAGTACCCGTCAAATTCTTGTTTTCCCTGAAAAGAATTGGACACAATTTTGAGACCCTGGCAATTATACAAATTGTACGCCCTCATGTATGTATGTGACATGTATAATCTCTATTCTCAGCATATTTGACGCAATAATAAACCAAATCCTTGTGCCGTATACGACTGAGGGTGACTCAAATTAAGCAATTTCCATTACTCAGCCTGAGAGGATTTTGAACCCTCAATATTCATATCATATGCATAATAAAACCAAAAGAACAAACACAATAGAATATATCAACCACAATTAATACAAACCATTACCAATAAGGCAATAAACGTCAGATAGTGGCACTACCTGTATGGTATATGTTTATGAGTCTGGAGATCTCTGTACTTCTTAGCAAGGCCATAGTCAATGACATAAACCTGCATAAGCATTTAGAATGTTAAAGCAGTCAACCTTAAAATGTCAAAGTACCTAAGAGGTCCCTGGACAGTACTACTTTCTAAATTTAGCATTTCTACTTGAAATTCGGTAAATTTACTCCTAATTTAAAATTGGTATAATTAAAAAGACAAAACTAACCTCACAAAGTCACAATGATGTGCCAATGACATTAGCACTTCCATTTCAAAATTTATTGACATGACAATGTCATTTCAACTCTTAATATTTTTTAAGAACTTAAAATAAATAACTAAAGAAGATTTTAAGAAATGCTGTTATCAACTTATCAGCTACGGTTTCTGGCCAGAGAAACCACAGTCAGCTGGTAACAGCTTTATTTTTCTTTTTCTAAAAATCTTTAAATTCATTATTTTAAAATATTAAAAAGATAATGTGGCAATGCCACACCAGGATATTTAACTGTTAAGTCTATGGTGTTAGTTTTCATGTTTTAATTGTCTTAATTTTTAAAGTAGGAAAAAATAGACCACACTTCAGTAGAGGGGCTTATGGTACTAAATTGAACAAAATATAAAAATATAGTGACCTCATAAGTCATAACAACATTGACCATTTTTTACAGAGGGCAGTCAGTGTGCAAGGTTTCTGCATCATGCAAGGTCTGATATGCACAGACCTCATCTCACTTTCCAGAGATGTGGTGTATAACCCTTGAACCCATAACCTAACTAGTCAACAAGTGAGCACCTGACCATTATGCTAGGTCCAAAAACACAATCAACTGAAACAATTACCTGATTTGCTTTGCGGCCAAGACCCATTAAAAAGTTGTCCGGCTTTATATCACGGTGTAGAAACCCTCTAGCATGCATGAATTCAACTCTGTTAATCTGAAAACAACATAATAGCACTATCACCTGAAGAACATTAAAAAAAATGCAGACAAATAATATTTTAAAGTTCATGTAGCCAAGTACTTACTAATTGATCAGCAAGCATTAATACAGTTTTCAGAGAGAACTTCCTATTGCAGTAGTTGAAGAGATCTTCCAAACTTGGGCCAAGAAGATCAATGACCATAACATTGTATTCACCCTCAACTCCAAACCATTTAAGGCTGGGAATGCCAGCTTCATCAGAACAGCAGAGCACAAAATGTCAATTCATTGATTGCAAGCATTAATGCTTCAATTTATAATTCATGTTGAGCTTTAAGCCATCTGATGCAATCACTTTTCCATTTTTACTTCATTAAATATAAATTCTCCGATGCAAATATTTGTTGTTATTGTTGTTATGGAATACCTCATCATCATTTGATAAGACTTAAGAGTGAACATTATGCAATACTTTATGAAGATTGTTTAAAGTTGATTGCATAGTCAAGAAACTGATTTTAAGTAAACAAGGCAGATTGATTGCCTGATAATTAGTAGAAGTGTAGAACAAATAAATATATGCAACTGGGAGGGATAGAACTCACTTCCTCCTTGAAGAAGAATATAAATTTTTGATTCGTAGTGAAGTTGAGGGTGTTTGGTCTTGACTGACTCCTGGGAATTGTGGCAATTGAGACAATATCAGTATCATGAAGATAGTATTAAGTACACATACAGTATGGAGAACTCACATAAATAGATTAATGCTAACCTTAGCAGGGAAAAAAATCTATGACTGATTTTAAAATGTGGGAAGTTTATGTATCTACTAAAGCGGAGTTCAACTTAATCAACTAGTCTGTACTAAGATAACCGAAAGGCCATAGGAAACAGAATTACAGCTCATCCATCCAAAGCTTAAATTTCTTTAACAACTCTTGAACTCTCTCCAGGAAAGTGAATGTACACACAAAATGAAAAGTCACTTTCAGTATCTAATACACATTCACATCTTAAGTTCCACAAACAGATAAAATGAGTTATTTAAAGTTTAGTGCTTGGCTACACCAGAAGGGCAAGATGATCTATCACAGCTAGATAACCAAACTAAGTTCCAAACAAATATAAAATAAGAAAAAAGCATACCAACTTGATGGCTACTTCTTCTTCGTTTTGTATATTGACACCTGAATGAATTAACCAAATGCATGACATGATCACATGAATCATTACAAAGTTATGCAAACAACTAGCGCGAATAAAACTCAAGGTTAAAATAAAGAATGATACATAAAAATGGAGGAACATACCTAAATACAGCTCACCGAAAGAGCCACTCCCAATCTTTCTACCCAGCTTATACTTGCCACCAACAACATGACCCATAGCGATTCAAGTTCAACAACGCTTCGATCAATTTGTAAAACGACAATACAACACCAACGAAGCTCGAGTTCAACTCGGATTTAGGGTTACCCAAAAATATTAACAGTCCTCTCGAGAACACGCGCAATCAACACTCTTAATGGATTCAAATACGTCTTCTTACTGAACAGCAAAGTTAAAAAAAGCTGATCACTAAAGATCGAGAGAAATCGTTGATATTGTTCAACCACTACCTTGGAGAAATTAAAACACTATTTTTCAGAGATACAGAACCCTAAAAGCACAGGGAATATCGATTTTTGATCATAACGTCCGACCGATAACGGATAAGAAATTATGTATCTGTCGTTTTACAGAGAGATAATCGGAGAATAATGAAAACAGCTCCAATGGGTGGGCTTATGCGAGGATTGAGGAGAGAGAGAGAGAGAGAGAGAGAGAGAGAGAGAGAGAGAGAGAGAGAGAGAGAGAAAGCTTGATTTCGAGACGTGGAAAACAGTAGAGAGATAGAGAGAAAAAGATGATTGAATGAATGAAATTAATGTATGTATGGATAGGTGGGGTGGGCCGAGGGAGAATAGAAAACACTAATGTTAAATGTTTTATTTAATTTTGTAAGGAAAATTTTATATTTTTATCCTATGTAAGTACATCCTTATATAGCATGTTTGATTCACTAAATAAGTTAAGTGAAAAAATAAAATATATTTATTGTTGAATTATAATTTATAATCAAAATGAGATATATAGAGTTTATTAAAATCGCGAATCGGAATGGCCGGTTCATGTTCCAAACTGAAAAAATAAAATACATTTATTGTTGAATTTAGACTATTTTAAAATAAAAATAAAATTTTAAAATAAAGACGGTTTAAAATCGCGAACTGGATCCGGAACCGCCGGTTCACGGTTCATGATCCCAATTTTTTTATTCTTAAATTTAATAAATTGAAATTCAAATATTGGGTTCTAAATCTGAAAACTTTTAATTTGATTGCTATAGTGTCTGGTTCAGTTCGAACCGAACCGTGGTAATCGCTACATATACGCAATAATTTGTAGGAGAAGTAAAATAAATAAAATGTTTACTTTAAGGGTAGAAATGTCAATTTAATATATTAAGGAGAAAAATCACCACTTTTAAAATAATTGAGGAGGCTAATGTGCTTACATAAATAATTGAGGGGAGAAAAGTGCTATAAGTATATAACTTAGGGGGGAAAAGTGTCATTTTCCCTATATACTATTATTTGGTAAGTTATTTTATTTTTGGGAATAATATTTTTAATAATAATTTACTTCTTTACAAGGGACATAGTTATAATGAGATCTTGATATTAGACTATTCTTCTCAAGATTAACTTAATTTGGTAATACATAATTTATCCTTATTTATTTTTGTTATATACTATATATATGTATGTATTTTATAATTATTATTGATGGTTTTATTGGGACCAGGTCCACCATAAACCGGGTATAGGAACATAGGACGGGGGTAGGGCGCTAGGCCCAGAACAATGCGTACAAAAGCCCGAGGTATAGGCCCAGAATGGCAGCCCAATTACAAAGAACAAGGCTCACAGGATGGGCTATAGCGAACTATGCTACTGGTAGGAATCGAACCCAGGTGACTGGATTGAGAGTACAAGACCAAAACCACTAGACTGTAGTGCTTATTGTGTCTGAGTTGCCCCTTAGCCAAAGATCCAGGGCCCCTATTTATAGCAAGCCCCCCTCCTCCTCTGGCGTCCGCGTGTCCCACGTTGCTCCTCCCCCACTCTGCTTGTTTGTCGTCATGCATGTCACGTCGCCACTATCCCCGCGACTCCCGCATCCTCCACCATGCACGCCGCACATACCTCCCCCCCTCAGCCGTACCTACCTACCCCCTCACGCCGTACCTACCTCCCCCCTCACGCCGTACCTACCTCCCCCCTCACGTCGTACCTACCTCCCCCCCTCATATCGTACCTACCTACCCCCTCACGCCATACCTACCCCCCTCATGCCGTACCTACCTCCCCCCTCACTCCATACCTACCTCCCCCCCCCCTCATATCGTACCTACCTACCCCCTCACGCTGTACCTACCTCCCCCCTCACGCCGTACCTACCTCCCCCCTCACGCCGTACCTACCTCCCCCCTCATATCGTACCTACCTCCCCCCTCACGTCGTACCTACCTCCCGCACCTACTTCCTCCCGCCTTCCGGTCCATGTTCTTCACCCTGGCCCACCATGCGTGCTTGTCTTCCTAGCCCAACAAGACTTGGTCCAACCTCCTTCTTTCACCACCCCCACTTAGGTTAATACTTTCCCAATAAAATGGACCCCTAGGGTCCCATATCCCCATCACAAGTCCCCCACTTCTTTTAGGCATCTTGATGCCTAAAGGAAGTAGAATTCGGTACAACTACCTCATTTCTTTCCCAAACTCAACCTCTAGTTCCCAAGCTTTCATGATATCCCCATCACAAGTCCCCCACTTCTTTTAGGTATCTTGATGCCTAAAAGAAGTAGAATTCGGTATCACCACCTCCTTTCTTTCCCTTTCTCAACCTCTCGCCGCCACCTTCCATTATCACCATTGTTGTGCGTCACGCCATTACTCCGTACCTCTGCCACACACACCGCATGTTGTCCTGGCCTTCGCTTCATCACCTAGTGTCGAGAGGTCAAGGTGACTCCTCTATTGTCACTTCTTGGATGCTTCTTGCACTGCACATATCTTTTGTTGCATTTATTTAGTATGCTTTGTCAATTTCTCCATGATGCACCTGCATGCTTCTTTTAAATATTCAATGGATGTCTTTGCTCCTTCTCCATGCTACACCTGCATGCAACCTTTTTTTCTTTTTTTTTTTCTTTTTTTTTTTTTTAAAGGATGAAGGTAACTGAAGATTGTAGGACGGGGTAGTGTGGGTTGCGATAACCCACACGCCCCCTCCGCCAATGCCATGCGGCTTGCCGGGGGCAAGTCCGCGCATGTGGGTTGCGATAACCCACACGCCCCATTCGCCAAAAACCATGCGGCTTGCCGAGGGCAAGTCCGTGCATGTGGGTTGCGATAACCCACATGCCCCATCCGCCAAAACCATGCGGCTTGCCGGGGGCAAGTCCGCGCATGTGGGTTGCGATAACCCACACGCCCCATCCGCCAAAAACCATGCGGCTTACCGGGGGCAAGTCCGCGCATGTGGGTTGCGATAACCCACATGCCCCATCCGCCAAAACCATGCGGCTTGCCGAGGGCAAGTCCGCGCATGTGGGTTGCGATAACCCACATGCCCCATCTGCCATGGCCGTAGAGCCAGCATGCATAGCACGTAAGAGCACATAGGAGCACATAGTTGAGGTGGCCGTGGGCCAAGCATGCAGAGCACATAGGAGCACATGGTTGAGGTGGCCGTGGGCCAAGCATGCAGAGCACATAGTTGAGGTGGCCGCGGGCCAAGCATGCAGACACATATGAGCATATAGTTGAGGTGGCCGCGAGCCAAGCATGCAGAGCACATATGAGCATATAGTTGAGGTGGTCGTGGGCCAAGCATGCAGAGCACATAGGGGCACATAGTTCGGGAAAATAAACACAATCTTTACCTAACTAAGTGTTCAAGTGTACTCACCAGAGTAGCGTCTCGATGTGCTAAGTGTGTTACCTTATAGGGTAGCTCCTCTTGCGAATCAACCATTTGGGCGTACCTCGGAACCTTGCTAGGATGGTAGAGACTACAAACACGGGCTAATCGTAGCGATCCCCACAGACGGTGCCAATGATGGTTTTATTGGGACCGGGTCCACCATAAACCGGGTATAGGAACATAGGACGGGGGGTAAGGCGCTAGGCCGAGAACAATGCGTACAAAAGCCCGAGGTACAGGCCCAGAATGGTAGCCCAATTACAAAGAACAAGGCTCACAGGATGGGCTATAGCGAACTACGCTACTGGTAGGAATCGAACCCAGGTAACTGGGTTGAAAGTATAGATCAAGACCACTAGACCGTAGTGCTTGTCGTGTCTGAGTTGCCCCTTAGCCAAAGATCCAGGGCCCCTATTTATAGCAAGCCCCCCTCCTCCTCTGGCGTCCGCGTGTCCCACGTTGCTCCTCCCCCACTCTGCTTGTTTGTCGTCATGCATGTCACGTCGCCACTATCCCCGCGACTCCCGCATCCTCCACCATGCACGCCGCACCTACCTCCCCCCCTCAGCCGTACCTACCTACCCCCTCATGTCGTACCTACCTCCCCCCTCACGCCGTACCTACCTCCCCCCTCACGCCGTACCTACCTCCCCCCTCATATCGTACCTACCTCCCCCCTCACGTCGTACCTACCTCCCGCACCTACTTCCTCCCGCCTTCCGGTCCATGTTCTTCACCCTGGCCCACCATGCGTGCTTGTCTTCCTAGCCCAACAAGACTTGGTCCAACCTCCTTCTTTCACCACCCCCACTTAGGTCAATACTTTCCCAATAAAATGGACCCCTAGGGTCCCATATCCCCATCAATTATTATTAAAGTCAATGATCAAATAAGCCATTGAACTTTACGCAAAAGAAAAATTAAGCTCATAAACTTAAAAAGGTTATGTAATTAAACACTCAAACTTGTCAAATAAATTCTATTTATATGTAAACAATGAAATTAATGTCGCTTACCACCATTGACCGACGGCCGCCATTGCCATTGAAAAAGAAGGCAACAATGGAGAAGAAGATCAGTTTGGTCGCATTCTATAGCGGAGAAAACGCCCTCGAGTCGTAGTCATCTTCTCCCATCGTCACCTTCTTTCTTCAATGGCAATGGTGACGGTCATCGGAACCCTGATAACCAACTGGTTTATATGCACCATAATGACAAAGTGTTTATTTGCACATTTTTAAATTCATGAACTTAATTGCTACGGAGTATTTAGTATAAAGTTCAATAGCTTATTTGACAATTTTCCCTTGTATTTCAAGGACCTATCTTTTACCCCTTTTTCTTTGTATTTCAATGGCCAATTATCATCATCATAATTCATCACGATTTTAACTTCATTACACAATAATTAAAACAATATATTGAAAAAATATATTAATGTGAGTGTTACATTATTTAAAAGATCTCAATGAAATATTTTTGTAACATTATTTTTTTAAAACAAAAAGTAGATAATAATATATTTAAATATAAATGACGAATTGATGTCATTTTAATAAATCTACCGTATTTGTTATAAACGAATTTGCATTTTGTATTTGATACATGAACCAAACAATACAGATCATGCCATCAATTAGTGGCTTCCTTTGAATTATAGAGAAGTACGGAGTAAAATAGAGAGAACTAAACCAATTTGGTTAGAATGAGTGATTATGCACTTTCTTCTTTTAAGAGGGATTGTGAGTTTAAAACTTCATTTTGTATAAAAAAAAAAAATTAATATAATCAGTATTTTACCTCATAATTGAGCTAACCCGGCATAAACGTGGATTAGTAAGCGTATCGTATGGACTTAAAGATCTCTCATATAAGATTAGAGTATAATTATTTCACTCCCACCTTCTTTCGATTGGTTGGAGGGAATTGTATTTCCCTCATTTTCACAAAATTAAAATTTCATGTCTCTCCCTGGTAGTACAAAATTATTGATGTTTCATTTTTATGGAATTAGAATTTCATGCCTACCTCCGATACTAGAGCTATTAAATATTTTGTATGTTCTAGTGATACAAGTTTATATCTAAAGTCAACAATCAATGTGAACATATTCCAAATAACAATTACATTGCATTATAGTTTTGATACAAATTTACTTGTCATTTAAGATTAATAATAATAATAATAATGGACACTTTTTTTGAGAAAAAAAAAATATGGACACTTTAGTCTTTATACTACTTATTCTCTTTCCATTTTCATGGATGTCAAACACTGAAATTGAAATTTTCAATAATTTTATTCATGCAAATCAAACATGGTAATATAGACCTCTTTGGTAAAATAGTTAATTTATAAATCAATTTTGACTTATTTGACCACTATTAGTTGTTTGATTTGGTTAAAAATTAATATAAGTATTTGATTAATTAGCTTTTTGTAACTTTAAAATGTTAAAATTCAAAAAACTGCTCAAAGCAACTTTTTCAATTAACAACTAATTTACCAAACATTTCTACAATCAACTAATGTAATCAACTAATTATATCTTTAATTAACTCAATCAGTTAATAGCCATTTATCAAACTGGGCCATAAATTTCCATCCAAGTAGGAAAAGTGAGGTAGAAGAAACACAGGCATCAGAGCTGACTGAAATTTGAAAATGAAACCTTAAACCTTGAACTACCAAATCACTCATTCAATTCTTAGTCAGTCTGTCTCGAGAGCTGCTGACCATGTGGCCAACTTCCAGAATATAAATTTACAATTATAGTGAAGCCCGAAAAGAAAAGGCGAAATTAAATCAAATTGCAACAAGCCAGAAGAACGAATGGATTGGATTGGGCAACCAAAATTTTGAGAACAGTTACAAAATCCAAGCAGGAATAATAATTAACTGAGAGGAATATGAAAACATCATCTACAACATCTGACTATGTACACCAAAACCGACTTTTTTATATTTGCATAGTATCTATCTAAAGCAAGCATTGAGATTTGAGAAGTCATTACCGAAGTCTCAGAAGGCTGATGCAGTGGTACTTACAGTTACTACTCTTCCTGATATTCTGGTTTAAGAATCCAGAATGATCCGTTTGGGTTTTTCTTCAAAGTTGCTATCTCCTTCAAAAGATTCTTGAACAATGCCAAATCTTTTGATGGTACCCTGCTTCTAAAATGCTCAACTATGCTTGCCGAACTGGTGCTTCCACCTTTCCGTTGTATAAATGTACAAACCTGTCGGATCAACACTTCTGGCTGCATCCCTGCTGACCCGTGAGATGGCCTGGAAGCCCCATTCTCAGCAGCTCTTGTCCTGCTGTTAGAGCTTGAACCCGAATTAAACTGATGCTGATGCTCTAGCCCATCGCTTATAGCTCTTTCTTGGTTTCCTCTAATCTTAGCCAGTAACTCAGCTGAAGATAGTGCTTTACCAGCAGATGCCCCAGCAGCAATTCCATTTCGCCTGCTGCTTATCATGGACGACTCTTCCAAAGGCTTTGAACTAGTTACCAATTGAGGGTTCAAAGTAGAACCAAATTTCTTTTTGATAGACGGAGGTGCTCCTGCAGTTCCAGATCTGCCAGTCCAGGTTGGGATAGCTACACTTTCTTGGCTCCGAAGCATTCGTGACTGGCGCAATGCTTCTGCAGCTCTCTGTGCAACTCGGGAGGCTTGTTCCTCTAGCTTCAATTTCTCTTCATCATGAGCATTCACAATAGCATCATGATCCATGGCACTCTGAAAAAATAATAGTTGTAGTAAAAAGGTATAATTTGCAGAAAGAAGACAAAGTTAAAGCCACAATTTAACATATGCACATTTGACAGATAATTAGCTTATGGAAAAAAGGGAAGCAATATAAATCCAAAGGAAGTACTGACCATTTTGTTATCTGAAATTAGTCATCAGATGGTAAAACAGATTATTGCAAGAACGATTTTTTTGAGAGGGGAAACAAGGGAAAACTCATTTAAATTCTGTAAGGGAGAACATGTACTTACATGAATGCCATGGGCATCAAAAAGAGTCCGCAAGATACTAGTGTCTTCATCTACATCACCATTGTTGTTATCAGCTTTCTCTTCACCATTGCTTCCTGAGTTATTATCTCTTTCCATGGCAGTGCCATGATCAGCTGGATTTGTTTTAATAGATTTATCTTTTTCTTGATCAGGGTGTTGAGGCCCAGTAATATTTACATCCTCACTTAACTGGCTGAAAATACTTGATGATTCTGTAGAACCATTCTCCCCATCATCATTCAATACAAAGAGATCTTTCAAATCACGAGCTTTGAAAAGTCGTCGCTGCTGTGGGTTCTTCAAGATTTTGTTTGTAAGTGAGTGCTTGTAAATCTGTCGGTGATACACCTTCTCTTCTATTGTTCCACGGGTAATCAACCTGTAAACAGTCACATCTTTTTTCTGACCAATACGCCAAGCACGCTCCCTTGCCTAACATATTAATGACGATTATAATAAGCACAAGATGGAAAAAAACCAAAGCTTTCAAGCTCAATAAGACAATAATAATCATGTTTTTGTTTATGAATGGGCTCTCATTCTCTCCTTCATACTCACAAGGAAAGAGGATTGAAAACCACCAGTGTGCATGAATTCTAAAGTTGAATAATTTCATGTTCAAATTCTCAATGTGGACACTCACTGGATCCAAATAGTCATACAGCATACCTGCATATCATTTGATGGGTTCCAGTCAGGATCAAATATAATGACTCTGTTGGCACCAGTTAAATTTGTTCCAAGACCGCCAACTCTCGTTGTCAAAATGAAGATGAAAATTTCAACTGTATTGTTAAATTCATCTATCAAAGCCATTCTTTGTTTAACGGGAGTGGCACCATCCATTCGCCTATACTTGTAGCCTCCAGTAACTAGAAAATTTTCAAGAATATCAAGCATCTGTTGTGTCTGACTAAAAAAGAGCACGCGGTGACCCTGATCCTTCCATAACTTAAGCACTTCAGCAACAACTTTCATTTTTCCACTGCGCTCAGGGTTTCCATAGTCAGGATCTCTACAAGAATGTTCCCTCTCTAGAAGATCAGGATGATTACAAATTTTACGCATCACGTCAATTCCATACAGAGCGTTTTTGCTCCCATCAAATATTTGTTCAACGTCAGTACTAGCGAGAAACGCTTGGTAAATCGATCGCTGCACTGAAGTAAGGCTACAGAAAATGACATGTTCAGTCTTCTTAGGAAGCTGAGCATTTACATCAGCCTTCATTCGCCGCAGGAGATATGGCATGATCAAATCACGCAAGACAACAGCACATCTGCATATGATAATAGTTAAGGAAGCCAACTGTAAGAAAAGGAACATCAAAGATAGTGACAGATTCTAGATTAGAAACTTTACCAAAGCTGACACTAAGTCATTAGATATTACTAAGTAACAAATATTACATATTTATACAAACATGTGTTTCCTATATTTCATTCTTCTTCAACCAAAAAAAAAAAGAAAAAAGAAAAAAAGAGTGATAATAATAAAATAATAAATTTAAAACATAAAAAATTGCTATTTCAGTCTCTTCCTTCAACTTCCCTGATATGACCTCCATCTATAATTCCAGCTGATCTTGTAAACAAAGGCAGGAAAAAAAATAGAATTATAAGAAATCCTTAAGTCTTTAACTTTTGGGAGAAATGCATTTTTAGTTCCTAAATTATATATCAAGGTGACTATTTTGATCCCTCCTATCATGACAATCATTAGTCCCATGCCACAGATATAAAAAATGAAAGACTGATGTGAGAACCTAAAATACGCCAAACACACATGTGACCATTTAATGGAATCCGTCAGATGAGATCCTCAATCACATTGGTGCCCGAGAAGGGATAAAATTGGCTCACCCCTATTGTTAAAGGACTAATTTGACCATTCCTATCTTAGGAACCAAATGTGCAATTAACCCTATTTTTAATATAAGCACTCATGAACCAAATAAAGGCCAGAAAAGAGTTGGTACAATACTAAAGCACATTCAGCTGCTTTGATCTTTCAGATACAGTTATTTTTGCAAGAAATAAGTTCTCAATCCAGAACTACAAACTTCAAAAATTTCAAAATGCAGACCTGTAGGCAGTGGAAACTTGCAATGGTGTTGCATTAGCATAGCCACCAATAGATATGGGAACTGCAAATTCTGCCTCAAATACAGGTAGGACTCCCAACTTTCCAGGGAAGACAAAGTCAAACAAAGACCACAACTCAGAAAGCTTATTCTGAATAGGAGAACCAGTCATTATGATGCGATGAACTGTCTGCAACTGCTTGCAAACAAGAGTTACATCTGTATTTGGATTCCGAATCCGATGACCTTCATCTAACACAGCATAACCCCACTCTATATCAAGTAATTTCTCTCCCAGAAGCCTCAGTTGCTCATAAGTGGTGATCAGCAAACCAGAATCTGACCCTAAAACATGATTTATCAATTTATCCCATTTTTTGGTATTCCTGAAAGACAAGTTTTTTTCAACATCAACATCAAGTAATTCTTCACTTTCAGAATCACTTTCATGAGATTTGGATCCCTTCTTCTTGTCATGAAAGTCATTAACTGAATCATGTAATATCTCCACATGAAAGCTTGGATACCATTTTTTAGCTTCCCTCTTCCATTGCTGCAGTAGAGTGAGAGGGCATACAATGATGCTTGGCTTGTAGGCATTACTGAAATGTAATGATCCAAGAAAAGCTAAAACCTGCACAGTTTTACCAAGACCCATCTCATCTCCAATAATCCCACCAGCTTTTTGACAGTGAAGTTCCCATAACCACTGCACTCCAACCTTTTGATAGTCGAAAAGTTTGTCAAAAATTGTCTCTGGAATTTTTAATCCACCTTCAAGCATCACAAATGGCGGTCCTTCATCATCCATATCTTCATCATCCTTTTCATCTTCATAACTTGAAATTTCAACATCTTTCACAAGGAAAAGAAATTGCTTAATATGGAGTAACTTTTTTTTTTTTTATAATACAAACACCAATTACATTTAGTCATGCAACATACTTCTATAATTAACTCATTAACTCATTGGAAAATAAAACTAGAATCAACTGCCTAAATTTACCTGGTCCTTCATCTTTGTTTTCACGGGATACTTTTACTCTCCATTTCTTGCCAGGTGTTGGCCTTCTCTTCCTCTTATCATTTCTGCCATTCTCTGCAGACTGTGAGATCTTGACATGTTTTCTTGGCGTTTGAAAAGGATAGGTAGGTGGCTCAAGTTTTGGTAATAATGAAGAATCAAGCAGCTTTGTTGTTGGTCTAGATTGTGCAGCCTCTGAGATTGACTGGATAGCATTCGCTAAGCTAGTTGAAACCAGATCACCATTGTCTTGCATACTGTGCCTACTGGATTGCCCTGGTTCTTGAATTTGACGCTCAAAACCTTTGAGTTTGTGGAAGGGAGTTAAAATTCCTTTTCTCACCAACTGATCCTTTTCCTAAAAATATATAGATAAATAAATGAATTATGTGGTTATATACTTATATCCATTGCTTAGTAAAGTAAATAAAAGACTAAAAGTCTAACATTCCCCTAGTACCCAAAAAAAGTTCAACATTCCCCAAGCCCAAGAAAGAAGGCAAAATTTAAGCTTTTCATGCAATTCAGACAAACTAATTGATATAGAGTAATTACTTACTGTTTCAACAAATCCAGAAGATGCTGCATTCAGTACTGCATCAAAATCATCATCATCATCCAATGATGCTGTCTTTATCCTTTTTTTCTTATTCTTGCTTGGGCTCTTGGCTTCTTTTAGCCTTCGTTTGGGTTTAGGCTGCCCCTTAACGACATCTCGTAGCACAGCATTAGGCTGCTCCTTAACAATATCTCTTAGCACAGAAAGAGTATCATGCGTAGAATCATTAGACAAATCAGAAATCTCCTTTTTGAGTTGAGCTTTTGTTTTTAATAGGCTTTTTAGTCGATCAGCAGCCAAAGCACGCTGAAGGTCTAAATCATTAAGCGGAGCCTGAGTAGTGCTTTGCTCGGTCTCTATATCCCTTTTTTCATGGCCATCTTCTCTATCAGGGACCTGCTCGTCATTTCTTCTGAAGTTCTCTAACTGCTCAAAACCACTCTTAACTGCCTGTATTTCAGTTTCCACGGCTCTAAGTTTATTATACATATCTGTTTTTTTGGTGGACGATGTTGCATTGTGTTCAGTAGCCTCCAATTCCATACTCCTTGCGGCCTCATTGCTCGCATCAAAGCCATTTTCTGTCTGGCAATACCATAAACATCTAGTCACTCACACATTCCCAGGGCCAGGGGAAATGGCATATATCAAGAGATTATATTAAACCAAAAACATTTTTTGAGGGGTGTAATAAGTGTTCATCTACCATCTCAGTTCTTCTGAAGTTCAGAATAGCATATTTCAGTTATTACTTTATACATTTTGAGTTGGACTATTGCTTCAGAAAATGGATAACTCCAATATTCTACATTTGATGCAATAAATTTTGAACAATAAACAAACCTGTCCGAATATATTGCGCTCAATATCTTCAGGATTTGCAGATGTAACACCCAAACTACTGAATAAAACCCTATCCTCCTCATCTTCTTCCATTTGCACTTTTCTGCATAAAGACAGACACACAAGAAGATCCACTCATTACAATCTGGAATCAAAAGACTTACATTCATAAACATAGTATGCAGTATATAGTTGTTCATAATAGCACCTTCGAAAGCACAGAGCTCACAGAACCCGTAGTTTGAGTACAGATTCTGTGTGTGATGAAAACTGTATCAATGTATTGTAACCCCAATTTTATATGAAGATATTAGGTGGAACTCATAGAAATCAGCCAAAAATCACTAAAGATGTATATTCTATGGGGAGCCATAAAGTATCCACCCAACAAACCTGATTGTAGCTGAACTTCTACTTCACCAGAAATTCCCCAGCTTCATGCTAATCTTCTAAAGTTTCATTCTAATCTAATTCATACAACGCTAGAACACTCATGCCTCCAGGGATTATAATAAAATATATATTTCATCCAAATTAAGATAAAATGATACAATTTAAAACTCTCATCACAGAAACAATACGGAGTACAATTTAAAATTCTCATCACAGAAGCAAAGCATTCAAATGCACACTCTACAAATGCAAATTCGAATCACGAAACTATAGTACGAAGTCGCAGCTAAATGCAAATTCGAATCACGAAACTGCTCTATCCCTCCCCGGTATATTACACTCAAAATTTATTCCCCCCCCAACACCATTCCCAGAGGGTTTTAGGATCGATAAATGCCAGAGAAACCCTAGAACCGCGACTTATATTGTTTTTCCTATAATTTTGTATTTCAGGTTTAGTAATTTGAGAATTTTGGGTACAGTCTTTTGTTTTTTCTGGATAGTGTGGATACCGCGAAAATGCTCCAATCGGGGCTGCCGTCGTGCTGCTACCGCCGCTTCGGCTTTCCTCAACGGTCCAAGTAGGGCAGCAGGAATGCAGGCGAGCGATGCCTTACAGAGTTGAATGTTGCCTGCCAATTCCTTGTGAAATTTCCTGAAGAATACGTAGCTTCTTCGAAGCCATTATACGTGTCATCCAAGACTACACCAATACGTATACCGCAATAATCCCAACAGTTGGATTCTGGTCCAATACGTAGAATTTATATTCATAATGTTAAGAATTTATATTCTCAATACACATATACATAAACACAATATAATAAACATTAATTCTGTGTATTATGATTTATGAGCATGAATTATGTGTATTATATAGTTAAGGATACATAAACACTTAACATAATATACAGAATTCATGTTCATAAATCATAATACACAAAATTCATGTTCAATATATCGTGTTTATGTGTATGTGTATTATGAACATGAATTCTGTACATTATGAATACTAGTAATTGTATCGCACGGACTATTATTAATTTAACAAATTTACCAATTAAATTTTTGACATCCTCTAAATTAACAAAGAAAGTAATGGTTGTTAAAGCAGAAAAACATACTTGAGTTCTTTAGTTCAAAATTAGTTTTATTAAAAATGTAAGTATAACTATACAATATAATATTAATATTTTTAAAAGTTCAATTATGCTATTAATATGTTGGTTTTAAAATTTATTGTTACTTGTATTATTATTTGAATTTGAAATAACTACTCCGTACTTTAATTATAGAGTAAAAATTCAAAATGGTCCATCGACTATAGCTAAATTCATAAATTGGTCATCGACTTTCAATTTCAACCAATTAAGTCCTTAACTTTGCAATTTTAACACAATTTGATCATCCGTCTATTTGACAGTTTGTTGGCTGTGATCTTTGAGGATATATATGTAATTTCACGATTCTGCATCATCGCCGGCGGTTGCGTCGTCATCGACGATCTCCAGAAAAACCTGCAGCTCTCGTCGGAGCACATGGAGGCCTCCAAGATGACGTTGGACCGTTTCAGAAACACGTCGTATTCTTCGCTCTGGTACAAACTCAACTAGAGTGCGGTCTAAAAATACAACCGAAACCTTAAAAAACCGACGATGGACCATGAAATTACATATATATCCTCAAAAATCACAGTCAACAAACGGTCAAATAGACGGGGATCAAATCGTGTTAAAATTGCAAAGTTAAAGACTTAATTGGTTGAAATTGAAAGTCGATGACCAATTTGTGAATTTAGCTACAGTCGAGGGACCATTTTGGGTATTTACTCTTAATTATATAACTAACATATTTAAATAAAATAATAAGAAATATTTATCGAAAATCTCCACCAAAAACTTATAGATTTGAAAAAGATTATTTATGTAAGAACTATGTTTATTTTATATCTAATTTCTCCTTTTTATATATGTGGAGTCAAATTAATTATGGTGAAGTTTAAATGAATACACACACACACACAAAATTATATTAAATATAAAACTTTATCAATAAATTTGAACACAATAAACTTTTTCCCTACTTCATTTTGCTTTAATATATACTAGTAAGTGCCATGTGCGGTGCACGGAGTATTATTAATTTAACAAATGAGCAAATTACACATTTGGTCCTATGACTGTAGGGGCGTGTTAATTTCGCTCCATGCGTGCAATGCGCGTGAAAAACTAGTATAGAGATAAAGATGAATTATGTGCGTATAAAGTCAGATTGTGTGTATTGGACTACTGTGGACTCTGGACCACGATATAATTTGCCCAATAATCCAATGCTAAAAATAATTAAAAATTTAAAACAAATCTAGCTTTGCTAAGGCTCTGTTTGATAGAATTTATTTAAGAACTTATAACTTGTTTTAAGCTATTAATAAGCTATAAGCCGGATTTGGTAATGCTCTCAAAATAAACTAGTAAAATAAGAGCTTATTTTGAACCGCTACTTAAGTAACATTTCAAAAATCAGCTAGTAGCTTCCTAACTTTTGTGTGTTGAAGATTGATTTTTATATGAACTAATTTTATGAATTATAAACATTTTGTTTTACTTTGTATATATATTTTCAAATATATCTTCTTACTTCATATTTTATTAAAATATATTAGTTTCAATTTTCTACATTTATTAGGTACATCATGGAGTTGGAACGAAAAAAAAAAAGAGAAAAAAGCAAGCACTTTATGCAATTATATTGCTACTTCATTACGAGATGCTATATCATGATTATGTTAATATTTTCATTTCAAAATGTTAAATTTTAATATGTAAAAACATATTTAAATTTAAAACTATTTAAATTTTATGAATATGTCTTTTGTAGCCTTTTTACATTTATCAGCTTATCAAAAAGTTAATTTTACCATAGCTTAAATGCTCCTTAGTTTTTATCTTTTCAGTCTTCAGCTACTTTTCAGCTATGTTTGCCAAACATAGCCTAAATATATAAAATACAATGGACTACTGGAACTATGTTTAAAGACTAGTTTTATACGCGCACTGTGGGAATGAGTTAATGCCCAATATTTATAATTAAATAAATATTTAAAAGTATAGTGATGCAATATTATATATGATAAGTTCATACATAAGTAATTTAATGTCGAATTTGTTTATTTAAATATGTAACCCATAGTATATGACTACAAGATAATATATGATATTCATTATAATTGTCACTAAACTTTTTTAAAATAATAACCAATAACCAAGTATTTTTGTTGAATGAATCAACGGTACCAGTCGTTTAGGTGTTTTGCTCAGTGTTCATTTAGTTCAACCATTATTTAGATGAAGTAGTAAACATTTAAAATTTTTAAATATAATGTAACTCAAAAATATTGGACGGTTGGTAAATATGATGTGACCCAAAGATCAAAATGCTTAAAAAAATGTTTGGTTATTCAACAGTTTATAGCAACAATTTGTTCCAAACCACTGAAAATACAAACACTACAATTTATTATATTTTTCACTTAGCGTTTTGGAGAATGATTTTTCCAAAACATCCCTATATTAAAAAAAAAAACGTTTACTGTAGAGTCGTTTCGACTCCTTTAATAACAAGAGCGAATTTAGCTAGCTCACTGCTTGTCCATCAACGGATGGGCAAGCTTGATTTTAGAATTGGAGCCTTGAGCCTCCTTTTATAGAAGCCTCAAGGCTCCTATGTCACCTTTCTCATCGATATGGAAAAATTGGCAAAACTAAGGGGAGCCGAACGTTCGACTCTCCATATGTTTTTTTTGTTTGTTTTTTATTTTTTTATTAAATTATTATTATTATTATGAAATATATGTATACCATTTAGGTTATTTTACATGGTAATCTAAACAATTAGGTTTTTCAAATATCTTTTTACCAACCGCTTATATAATTCGTTGGACAAACCCGCTATTTGCTAATTGCTAACACAATCCGCTAACACTAACCGCTAACTGCTAACTGTTGATTGCCAAACAAGAACATTGCGATGTAGTTTCCCAATTCAATTTGTTGTGTGATTTGAATACCTTATTTGTCAATAAATCTCCCAAGTAGTTAATATGATTGACTTAATTAATTTTTTTTTTCATGGTATTAATAAAATACTTGGTAAATAAATATATAGCATTATTTTGTATTATAACTTTGATATTCAAAAAAAAGAAGATAATAGACAATGTAGTGAATATAATCAATTGATGAATTTGAATGTAAAGAATTTTTACATTGGAGAAAAATAAATACAATATAATTAATGAAATTATTTATCTTACATAATTTATTGATAATGAGTACTTTTTTTTTTTTTTTTTTTTGAATAAAGACATTGTAGGGATAATGTAGTAAATATAATCAATTGACTCTACTAATAGATAGTAGATAAAAGGAAAATAAGGTTAAGAGGGTGTTTGGTTAGATGTAAAATATTTTTCATAGAAAATGTTTTCTTAAAAATGGAGGAAAATGTTGTTTTATGTTTTTTGTTTGGATGAAAAATATTTTCCAGACAAAAAACGAAATAAGATTACAAGACTTGGGAAGAAAATATAAAATGGTTGAACTATTTTACCCTCATAAAAGTTTTTTAATTACACAAGTATATATAGCCAACCCCTAGTTATTCATTCTTCTCTCCGTTTATCCTCCAACTCCTAGCCACTTTTCTCCCGTTTATTTCTTTTTCAATCTTCTTCTTCCTTCACGCCATTTCTCCTTTTTTCTTTCTTCTTTGTTATCGCCACTTTTCTTTCTTCTTTCTTACTTACCTCTGCGACAGTCTCCCCTATCAATAGCACAATTCAAGCACTGCAACATTGCAATTTGCATTGCAGGTAAGCTTATCTTTCTCGCATCTTACTTTGTTGTATTGTATTTAATTAATTAATTAATTAATTTTTTGCAATCTGTGATTAACATCTGCAAATGTTGATGGTGTAGCACAATTTTGTTTTCCTTTTTTGAATATTTGCACTGCAATTTCACTGTCAGTTTTTTTTGGGTTATTGTATTTTTGTTATATATAATTTATGATTTATTTCTTGGAATTTATTTGCACTCCAATCCTAGTGGGAGTGAATTTCTTTGGCCAGTAATATTTGGAATGAATAATTTCACTGCCAGGTTGGTTTTTTTTTTTTTTTTTTTTTTTGTTTTTTTGTTTTTTTGTTTTTTGTTTTTTTTTGTTTTTTTGGATAATTAGATTTATTTTTTGTATAATTTATGCTTGACTTCTGAAAATTTATTTGCAGTTCAATTTATGTTTGATTATGCAATCCTAGTGAACATAAATGCTAGTAATCTGGAAGTGATTTTTTATACACTGCCTTTTTTAAATTTTTGCACTATCAAATTTTTTTTGGGTCTGTTTTTGCTTTGCAATGTTATTGCCAGTACCTATTGAGGTGTTTATTAGTACTTTGCAAATTGATTACAGAATATCATCATATCAATTACAAAATAATAATGAATTCATGTTTCTTTGATGGATAAGTGTAATGGAGGCTCCAGATTCAATTGATGGTGTATGAACAATGGGATGATGTTAGTGTGTATATTGACATATTTTCCCTGTAATCAGTATATTGTATCTAATCTGTGTATTAGTGCTAATTTTAGAGACGGACAGACTACTAATTTTTTTTTTCTCTATTAATTAGAGACTGTGACTACTAATTTTATTGGTGTCACGGAGATATTTAAAACGATTTTAACATCACGTCTTCGCCCCCCACCCCTGCTTACGGGATGTTATGGAGTTTTTTAGCATCACGTCTTCGCCCCCACTCAAATAAAATTCTGAATCTACCCCTGCTCACGGGAATGTTATGGAGTTTTTTTAGCAGAAGAAACAGACCATGTTTGGTAAATGACAGATCCGTTTATCCTTCCCCAAAACACCCTCTATTTTATATATATAAAAAATTAACTATGTTATTAAAAAGCCGAGCAATATTATCAGTTTAACTTTGGTGTTGTTTTTAATGAGTTTTTGTAAGAGTAATTAGGAAATAGAAGATGGGAGGGGAGAGAAAAAAGAAAAAAAAAAAAACAAAACTGAATTTTTAAACAGAAAAACAGTGTGTCAAGTGCATTGTCAACGCCACACACCCGTGTGGCCATCCTTTTTTTTTTTTGACCATTCTTTTTTTTTTTTTTTTTCCTCTGACATGAACCCAACACTTTGCAGGCTAAATATATTTATTTTCCAACATATTTGATCTGATATTAACCCTAAATCTTATCTGATGGTGATGCTCTTAATAAAGAAGCCTCATACTTCTCTTCTCTTGCCTATGTGATGTAGGAATGTGGGATGGGCAAGATGAGAAACTAAAGGGGTATTGATCTCACTTTTATAAGGGAGCTCAACACCTCTTTTTTTTTTTTTTTTTTTTTTTTTTTTTTTTGTGGGATAATTTCTAATCTCACATATTTTGTTGTTGTTGTTGTTGTTGTTGTTGTTGTTGTTATTATTATTATTATTATTATTATTATTATTATTATTATTATAATATGTATACAATATACCCTTTTGATATTTTACATGTTAGCTAATTTTACCAAACATCTTTTTACAAATTGTTAATACAATTCGCTGGTCAATCTCGCTAACACAATTCGTTATTCGTTAACTGCTAACAATCCGCTGATTGTTAAACAAGTCCACAATTATGAACACTAGAAAAATGATGAAAATAAAGTTATTTGAATGAAATTTACTATAACAATTTATGTATTGCCAAATACATTGTAGTCTGATGACATGACTATTATCATTTTAAATGGAAGAATCTTAACCAACTCATTGCAAGCTTTTCTCTAAATCAAAGATGAAAAATTTTGAGTACTAAGATGTATTTAAAAATTTGGAAAATGATGTCTGAAAAATATTTTTAGAAATTTGAGTACTAAGATGTGTAAAAATTTTAAAAATAATTTTTGAAAAATATTTTCTGAAAAATAACTTAATCCGCGGAATAATACAAGGACTCAATTGCATAAATTGTAAGGTGAAGTCGGTGATTTCATTTTCACTACAATTTGGATTTTGGAGGATGCATTTAACTGCTGGTATGAAAATTGAGTTATGAACCACAGGAACAGGAAGCTATGCAAAATCTCAGTTAACCATGGAAGCTCTGCACTCCTCCTTTCTGTGCTCCATTCCCTTGAAAACCCCATCTTCTAACTCCTCCAAGAAACCCAATTTCAAACGGACCAAATTCTCATGTTCCTTCAGGCCAGACCCATGGACCCTGAGCGACGGCAATGACAAGAACCTCAACAAGCCGAAACCCAGGTCCAAGAATCCGAAAAACCCACTTTCGGACGACAACGCGCGTCGCATAATCAAAGCCAAGGCCCGTTATTTAAGCGTGTTGAGGCGCAACCAGGGCTCACAAGCTCAGACCCCGAAGTGGATCAAGAGGACTCCGGAGCAGATGGTGCAGTACTTGGAGGACGATAGGAATGGTCACTTGTACGGGAAACATGTAGTCGCCGCCATTCGGATAGTTCGGAGCCTTTCTTCTAAGCCTGATGGGTCGTATGATATGAGGAAAGTACTGGGTTCTTTTGTTGCCAAGCTTACTTTCAGAGAGATGTGTGTTGTGCTGAAAGAGCAAAGGGGTTGGAGACAAGTCAGAGACTTTTTCGCTTGGATGAAATTGCAGGTTAGAATCAATCCCCTCTTATTTTTAAGACTTCTTGTATTTCGCTGGGGATTATGCATTTTAAGTTTTAGGTTGAAGAATAACACAAAAATTCAAGTTTTATTTTGGAACCATTCCTTACCACAATGTATTTCAGTTTTCATTTTACTGCTTTTATGCCAAATGGTAAAGATTCCTCTATATTTCTTGTTAGTTTCTTCCTCTAATTTATCATAGAAAGTGGAAATGATGGTAATTTCAATTTGTGATTGAGTTTAATAAAAAGTTAGTGGTTTTGCTTCATTTTCTTTGTTAGTGCTAGCTCTTGTGAAGGCCACAAACATTCATTTTTATGTAATGTTAAATTTATTCTTCAACAGTTAACCTATCGGCCTAGTGTGATTGCATATACAATTGTTCTCCGGGCGTATAGCCAAGCAGGGAAAATTGGACTTGCTGAAGAGACCTTTTTGGAAATGGTTGAAACAGGATGTGAACCAGATGAGGTTGCTTGTGGCACGATGTTATGTGCCTATGCTAAATTCGGGCATCACAAAGCTATGATGTCGTTCTTTTCTGCTGTACAACAAAGGGGGATAACGCCTCCTACTGCAGTCTTCAACTTTATGCTTTCTTCTTTGCAGAAAAAGGCACTCCATGAGAATGTTATCAGTATATGGAAGCATATGGGCGATAAAGCAGTTGTTCCCAATCATTTTACGTATTCAATTGTTATTGCCTCACTTGTGAAAGGTGGCCTTTTCGAGGAAGCATTTAAAGTTTTTAAAGAGATGAAGAGTTTGGGATTTGTTCCTGAAGAGGCAACGTATAGCCTTCTTATCAGTGTAAGTTCCAAGCGTGGCAACTATGATGAATCTTGTGGTCTTTATGATGAAATGTGCTCACAAGGAATTGTTCCGAGTAATTTCACGTGTGCTTCACTTCTGACAGTGTATTACAAAAACCGGGATTATTCTAAAGCCCTTTCCCTCTTTGTGGAAATGAAGAAGTATGGAGTCACGGTAGATGAGGTCATATATGGTCTGCTTATCAGAATATATGGAAAGCTGGGTCTCTATCAAGACGCACAAGATACTTTCGATGAGATTGAGAAACTGGGCATGCTTAGTAATGAAAAAACATATACGACTATGGCCCAAGTTCATCTGAATGCTGGTAATATCGAGAAAGCCTTGCAAATAATGGAAGTGATGAAGTCAAAAAACATCTTACGTTCAAGATTTGCATATAGTGTCTTGCTACAGTGCTATGTAATGAAGGGAGACTTGCCCTCTTCTGAAGTTGCGTTTCAGACTCTATCTAAGTTTGAACTTCCCGATTGTGTTTCTTGCAATAATATGCTCAATTTGTATCTCAGACTGGGATTAACTGAAAAAGCTAAGGATTTTATCCTCCGTGTAAGAAAAGCTCGGGTAGAATTTGACGAGGAGCTCCTCAGGAGTGTTATGAAGGTTTATTGCAAGGACGGAATGGTAAGAGATACGGAGAAATTGCTAGACGAGCTAAGTTCAAGCAAGATATTTGGTAGTGCAATTGTGCAAACACTCCTGATGGTCATACGGGGAAAGGACAGATTGTCTGAAGCCGAAATTACTTCTAAGCCCTTAGACCAGCCTCGTTCTATGGCATTTGAGCTGAGCCTAACCCTTACACTAGCAGATGGGAATAATGCAATGGCGCAAGAGATATTGGAAATATTGCTCAAGGCTGCAAATGGCTTGTCAATAGTCAGTAAAGTAGTGAAGATTTTTGCCAAAGAAGGTAAAATAACTCGCAATTTTCTTTGATAGCTCTCTAGACAATGATCTTTTCTGACATAGTTTTTTCCCATGTAGGTGACATATCAAAAGCGGAGAATCTTCTTGAGCTGTTAATGAAGCTAGGCTACAAACCCGAGGATTCTGCTAGTGCATCTATGATCAGTTTGTATGGAAAGCAACAGAAGTTGCGACAAGCTGAAAAAATCTTTGCAGCAGTATCAGACTCTGCAAGAAATAAAGCGCTTCTATATGATTCCATGATTGATGTGTATAACAGATGCAATAAACACGAGGAAGCATATTTGTTTTACAAGGAAGAAATCAAGAAAGGGCATGTTATGGGTCCAGTCGCTATTAGCATGCTTGTGAACGCATTGACTAATTGTGGTAAGAATAAACATCTTTTTCCTTGGATGATTTTCTGCAAATTTACAAACCAGAGTAAATAGTTCAGTTTCCTTAATGTGTTAAATATTCATCTTTAACACATAGTTTACCATAAAATCTACAATATGGTACGGAGTATTATTTTTCATATTATCTGCAGGCAAATATAAGGAAGCGGAGGATGTCATCCATAGCACTTTTTGTGCCAATTTTGAGCTTGATACCGTGGCATATAATACATTTATCAAGGCAATGTTGTCAGCAGGTTGACTTTCCTTTCTCTCGTGTACACCTTATTCCACGAGAAAAGTTGATTTGAACGAGACTCTAAGGATATTCAAATTGGTATGCAGGCAAGTTAGAGGACGCAGCCAGCATTTATGAACGTATGGTTTCATTGAAGATCGATCCATCAATTCAGACATATAGCACTATGATCAGGTTAGGGCATGGATATTAAAACAACATAGATCTACCAAAGAAAAAGTCGATTTGATCTGACTGAGGAAATTGATTATGTATGCAGTGTGTATGGACGAGGTAGAAACTTGGATAAAGCTATGGAGATGTTTAACATGGCTCGAAGCAGGGGGATAGCTTTGGATGAAAAGGCCTATACCAATTTGATATGCTATTATGGAAAGGCCGGTAAGTTAACAGCTTAGGATGTTTTATGTATCCATGTTATCTATGGCATTGAGTCTTTAGGAAACAATTTTCAGGAATCTTCCCGAATTGCTTGATTTTAGACATGTGTTAATTGCTCGTTTTGTATGTAGGGAAAATTGATGAAGCATCAAGTCTATTTAGCAAAATGCAGGAAGAAGGGATAAAACCTAGTGAAGTAAGTGTATAATTTTTTTTTTTTGGGTGATGAGAGAAACCCGTAGCTACTACCTGAGGGTGTGTACTGGGTAAACCTCGCCTTGTGACCCTAGTTGGCAAAGGACCACAAGGAGGTAAACCAGCTTAGGTTATCCATAACTGACCGACTAAAACCAAGAGGGTTGAGATTCAAACTCGTGACTTTGTGTGATTACAAGTTTGTATCCTTAGCCATCTTGGCTGGAGTTACCCTCAATAAGCGTACAATTTATGGTTGTGAATAGCATGTTATAGTATAGTTCCCTCTAATGTGTTTTTGGGGGACATGCAGTTGTGCTACAGCATTATGATGAACGCATATGCTCGTGCCGGAGCTTATGAAGAAGCCGAGGAAGTTTACCATAGCATGCAGAGAAATGGTGTTCAACCTTGCTCGTATCCGAGCATATACAATGGGGATGAGGTCAAAGTACGACAAGGCGGGAAAGGCTAATGCTTCAATGCAAAATAAAGGTGTGTCCCCCACATTATATGTGCTCATTTTAATGCCTTATTGTTTGCTTTTGCCAAAAAGAGAGGGGCATGGGCATGCATATCAACCTAATTTTCAGTGTAAGCCTAGAGGAGGAAGGCCAGAGAATTATGCATTTGTACAAGGCAGCAGAACAAAGCAGAGCAGGCATGGAGACGGAACTCAAAGCTGAAGCGGTTTTGGGTTTATCGAACACAGTGACTAATCTCCTCGCTGAATTGGTTTTGGGGTGTATTGAACAGAGTGACTAATCTCTTCGTTGAATTGTGACTGCTCCATTTCCAAGCATCGATCTCAATGTTTGGTTAAGAATGGATAAGTCCATTTCACTCAACGACACCCAGGGTTATTCATATCCATGTATATAAATACAATACAAACATTGCAAACCACCCATTTGGATTTGGTTGTTCCTTGTACATTCTTTTGGACCAACTGGATTACCATTCCTGCACGTGAAGTGGCGGTACAATCACACACTCTCACCCTCTCTTTTATTTTTAATTTTTTGTTTATCAATGTACGTAAATACTCAAGTGTATATACTTCCATTAATTCTGTTATAGTATAGGTTCTGTTCTTTTTATATGTTTACAAAAACAAAGTTTGATGTAATTTTATTTATTTATTTTTTTTTTGGGGGAAGATGGAGGGGGGTACCTAAATCTTTACCTGCCACATTTGTGGTTAGTCAAGTATCAAAATCCATAGTCATAAAATTATTCGTGGCCCCATGGGGTAGTAATACTTCTCAGATTTGGGCTGCCTCCTTGCATCGGAGTATTTCACTTACAACTTTTTAATGATATATTTTTTATATTAATTTTATTTGTAAAATAGAAAAAAGGGATAAATAAATTTAAATTGAAAAAAAGTTTAAAGAGAAAATATATGGATGCCTTGGTTGCATGTGCCCATGGACTTCTCCAACAAAAATATAGTGAGTTCAATTGGATCAAAAACACACTTGAAATACTCAATACTACAAAAAATAATAAGTAAATTGATGGTCAAAGTAACTATTTTCTTTAGTTTAATTCTTATTCTTTAAAAATGGCAAAGGACAATAGTTTATGGTGTTAATATGTCCATTAACTTAGCTAACGTGGCGCTAACATCGTCTTTGCATGCAAGTTATATCATGCACCGCGGTGCATGATCGATCGTGCACCGCGCATAAAAACGTCATTTTGTTTAATGAAAAGAAACGACATTCATTTTTGTGGGTGGTTTTTATGTGTTTTAAATGCGTGGGTTTTTTTTAAGGTACATGATTTGTGTGTTAATGTGAATTGTTGTTGAAACTTAAGGTGCGTCAATCTCAAACTTAATTTACCTGTTCAGATCCATTCATTAAACCATATATAGCAAGTCTCTAGACCATAGTCTTACTCCAAATACTGCCCACTAAACCATAGTCTTTAAATAGTCTTATTTACGCTATTAGTGTCCATCTAAAATGGATGCTCATCCAAAATATAAACTTGCAATTAATATACTAAAATGAACATGCATTAAATATAATGAACTTGTAAAATTGTTTAGAAACCTATACAAATAATTAAATAAACATGTGACCGGTATACTAAAATGAAATCTCTAGACACTAAAGTTGAATCAACATTAAAATTTATGTTACAAGATGTACGTTAAGCATATAAGACTTTTACTACATTTATACTGTATTCCTTCACTTTTGTGACAATTGATGATTAGTTTTCTTCATTTTGTGGGTCTTAATGAAAATATCAACATCAAAATTTTGTGTTATTAAATAAAAAGTTAAGTGAGAGTAAAATTTGGGAGTTGGAGTAGTATTTTTCATCTGTCATATAATATAATTAACAATTGTCTCCAACGTAGCAATAATTCAGATGAGTAGAAGGTGCACTTTGGCTTTTAGTATTAGGATTAGACAATAGAATCTTGTGGTATATGTATATCCGAGGAACAGTGATCTGAGATTTCTTCATTAGATAAACAATAACGATGATGTAAGATATGTCATTATCACCAATATAGTACATACATATATGCATTTTTCCATCCGGTCTTCCACACTGCTCGCTTCTGGCTTTTGTTCACGTGTATGCAATGTTTTGAAAAAATCGTTAAGCACCCTCTAGGTGCCTGATGGGGGCGGGGGCGCCTAAGCGTCGATTTTTTTTTTTTTTTTTTTTTTTTAAATAGTTAAACTCCCGCCTAGACCGCCTAGGCTTCCTAGTCCGACGACGGCCTACTCGGCGCCTAGAGCACCTAGGCGGCCAACCGCCTAGAACATTAATTCCGTTAAATTTCTAGGCGGCCGGCCGTCGCCTAGAATCTAGGCGCGATTTTTACAACATTAAGGCGCACACACCTGCTCTGTGCAATGAGAAAGTCTTGGTTTTTGTTTTTATTTTTTTATTTTTTTCTGGTGGGATAGTAGGTCCCACAAAAAACCAAATCTTGCCGGAGGAACTCAATATTCTCTCTCCAAGCTTCTCTCTTTCATGGATGTAAAAACTACAAAAATCATTCAAAATTCCATTATTGGGAATAAATGCTCTATGCCCTCTATGCCAATGCATTATTATCAAAACATTTTAAATAATTGCAAAGATTGTCTTACAAGGAAGTTGATTATTTTATGATAAAGCAGCTTTCATACTTTAATCCCTAGTAATTCACCCGTGCGATGCACGGGAAAAAAATTATATTATTATAAATATAAATAAAAAATATAAAACTAAAATATTTAAATTGTTTAATATAATAATATTTTTGAGCTTCCATTGGTCAAGTATTTATTATTTTTATAGAATACAAAATTACAATTAAAATTAAAATTAAAATTAAAATTTTGTATGGTTAATATAATCTCTAATTATGTGCATATTCAAATAAACTTATAGAGAGAATTTACATAATTACATTGATTTATTCTTAATTGTATTTCATCTATATTATAATTTTCACAATACGAATAATAACTAAGATAATTACATTTGGAAAGCAAATTTTAAATTTTGTATGAGTAAATTTAAACTCTAATTGAACACATTTTTATATGATTATATAATATATAGCTAGCTATTTTATTTTTTAAATGTTGTACTTTATACACACACACACACACACACACACACACACACACACACACACACACATATATATATATATATATATATATATATATATATATATATATATATATATATATATATATAAAATAAAGGATGTTGTGGCATTAATTGTAACATTAATTACTTCCCAACCATATAACTTTATTATAGTTAAGATGAGATTTCACGGATCTGTTGCGGACACTTTTAAAAAATATTTTCTGAAATTCCATTAGTTTTCGACTTGACAACGATGGTACATACCGGACTACCGGACATTATATTATCATCTTTCCAAATTTTCTAACTTTGCACCACTAGACTGTTGCTTATTAGTTTCTATGTCAAGATTCATCGAAAAAAAAAAATAAAATATAGGGTGATTTTACTATGAGACTGTCTTATGGATCAAAATATGTGAGATGGATCGGGTTAAGATGAAAATGTAATACCTGAAAATTGTAATACTAAAATAAAGTGTTTGTTACTTATAAGAGATTATAATACTTTAAATTAAAATGTAAAAGTATTACATTTGTCTTCAAAAGTATTACACTTTTCCTTATAGCTAACAAAAACTTTATTCTTGATTAGTATTACATTTTCGCGTATAAGTATTACATTTTTATATTGACCTGTTCGGAGGATTCGTGAGATAGTATCACACAAGTTTTTGCCAAAAATATATATGGAGTAATTATTTAAAAATTCTTTATAACTAGCAATTTAAAGTAAGAAATACAATTAGATTCAACTATATATTTTCTTTAATTAGGGGCTTTCTTATAACCTTTTAGATTAAGGGTCCGTTTGCAAATCCGGAAAACAACTCTCAAAAGTCATTTTCTAGATTTCTCAGTATTTGGGTACCCAAGGAAAATAAAGTAAAAAGGAAAATATCTCTTATGATAACAGAAGAAAGTCTAATTTGGCGAAAAATGTCTTCATATATATATATATATATATATATATATATATATATATATATATATATATATATATATATATATATATATATATATTTTTGGGAGGACACTTTTCAGATTCTTTATTTTCAATTCTTATTTCCCACTTCACTCTCTTCTTGTTTAAAGTTAATTTTTGGATTATTATTATAACCACCACTACACCACCACACCATCACTGCCACCAAACCACCACCACCAACTACCACCACCACACCAACACCAACACCACTATCACCACACCACAACCACACCAACACCAACACTACTATCACCACACCACCACCATCACCATATTATTATTATTGTTGTTGTTGTTGTTATAACAAATAATATGTTATTTTCAGTAAAATAGACCAAACAGAAAAAATACAAAATTTTAACTTTCAATCAAATAGAAAAATATAATTTTCATACATTCAGCCAAACACAAAAAAAAAAAAAATTTTTTTTTTTGAAAAATGAGTCATTTTCTAGAATTATTTTTCAAAAAATATTTTACAAGTTTTCAAACGGATACTAAATATGTGATCAATAATGACAGTTTTTACTACGAAATCATTCGTTGAATTTGCGCTGGTTGATAATGCTACATTTTTCTATAGTTAATAAATATAATGTACATATGATAATAAAAGGAATGCGTTTATTTTTGAGAGAGATGCTTCCCAATAAAACTCAACTAAATTTTGACTAAATTAGTCCCAAGGAAAAGAACAGGAGAAGAAGAAGCAAATCATAGTTTATTCCCCTTTCCCCCTTGGGATATATTTATTTTTTAGTTGCCATCAATTTTAATTTCCACAATATCCATTGCATGCAATCATTAGGCGTACCCCGGGCTTAATTTAGTGTTTCATCGCTTGAGTTGATGTCACGACAGAATTAAGATGACAATGTGAGGGTTCGAATCCTATTAAAAATATAAATCAATAAAAAAGGGCTCAGAATGAAATGTGTAAATCAGATCTCTTGTGCCCTTATAAAGACTAGGGGCTAGGACTTAACCATTGAACTGATTGCTTAACTCACGATTTCACTTTTGCAATGCTTTTAAGAATAGGTCCCGTGGACTTAGATGAGTTTAGCAAAATTGAGATAGTATTTAAAAAAAATAAATTAATGGAATTATTGTGAATGTAATCATGAAGTGATGATAATTAATTATTTAATAGTTAAAATGAGTAGATGCATGCGTGGCAGGTGGAGCTAGCTAGCTGGATGGCTTGGAGAAACTGACAAAATCTTGACATCGATGACTTGCAGTAATGGGTATCGTTTGGAAGGAATTATTTTTACCTAACTTTTCATGCAAGTAATGCCATGAAAACGATCCGAGTCTTTTAATTGAATTAATTAACTACACAATTTTAAAACTAAAATATATAACACCATATCTTTAAGAAGTGCACTAAAGTCTAAACTAACCAATAATATAAGCCAACTATTATGTAATGTAATGCCATAGGCTCTGTTTGGTAAATGCCTGTTAACTGATAGCTGATTGAGTTAATTAAATGGTATAATTAGTTGATAACATTAGCTGATTATAGAAATATGTTTGGTAAATTAGCTGTTAGCTGATAACTGTTTGATATAATTTCCTTTCTCAAAAAACTAATTGAGCAATTTTTTGAATTTTAGCATTTTTGAGTTACAAAAAGCAAATTAACCAAACACTTATATTAATTTTTTAACCAAATCAAAAGCTAATAGTGATCAAATAAGTCAAAATTGACCTATAGACTAACTATTTTACCAAACAGGGCCATTATCATTTTAAATGAGTGATCACATGATCAAATTCTGGATGGTAAGGGGATTTGATTCTTTGAAATAATAAAGTATAGAACATATAATATCTTGTAATAAATTATGTGTTTCAAAAATTAAACAAACAAACAAATAATAATAAAAACAAATAATAATAAATACTACATTTAATTTATTTATTCGTTACGAATCGAATCTAGTTGCGATTCACGGATCGGAGTTGAAACGTGGTGTACGCATGGGTGTATCTATCTAGCTAGCTTTCTTGTTTTTATATGAATATATATGATGATAGTGTATTAGTGATTTTAGAAAAACATAGAGAATGATAGAATTATCGAAGTTTGGCCATGCTGCTTTTCTCTGTCGACCACTAAAACTTGATTGCTTTATAAAATAAATGAATTTAGGAAAATATATTATTTAATAAATTCTGATTTTGTATGTTGCAGTGGGACATGCCATGTCCTGGACAGCCGGGCCCTATGACAGACTATTGAAGTCGCCATTGGGTCTTATTGGGTCGATCTTCTTCTCGGGCATGATATATGTGTCTCCATAGTTGGTTGCAGTCTTTGCGCCAGGGGGATTCCACTACGAGTGAGTATCTTGGCAAAGCCAATGTTTTAATTGGACTTCTTGCAGAAGCCGGCCAACCAACCGACCAACCCTGAGTCTCGCACGATGATCTCCTCATTGATCACTAAAGAACCTGTGACAATTGATCAATTCAACGACTACCATTTTGTTTTTGTGATAAAGTAGTATAAAAGGAACTACAAGTAAACTACATATCTACAAAAAGACCAACTGAAACATCTTCACCAAGCCACTAACCACATCAA